GCAGGGAACACACTGGGCCTAGTCTGGGAGGTCAGGGGTTAAGGAAGCTCTGGAGTCAGAGCTAGCTTCAACCCTCAAATGCCGCCGCTTCCCAATCTCCCGGCCCCTCTCCATGTTTCCCTGACTGCAAAGTGATTTCACAACATGGGAAAGTGGTTGGGAGGCAGATAGGGATAATCCACTAATCATAGCACTTGGCACCTTGTAAGCCTCAATAAATAGTAGCTGTTCTTCTTCTTTACCTTCCCTCTTGGGAAAGTGTTATGCACATGTGAGACCATTCTTAGAAAGTGGATAGTGTTGTCCCCATTTTCTAGATTAAGGAACGGAGGCTCAGAAGTTAAGGGGCTTGCCCCGGGTCACACAGCTAGAAGAGAAAGCTTGTTTGATACCCAGGCCCAGCCTCTTCCCTCTGTCCCAGTTTCGATTTCCCTCCTCCTTCAGAGTTCCTGGGGGTTCCCTATCCCCACCCCCCCTCGAGGAGAGGCCTAAGACCCCAGGGATCTGGAAGTACAAGCCCTGGGGGCTCTGGCAGCAACTTGCTGGTGCTGGTGAGCTAGGCCTCAGCTTCCCCCACCCCACCCACCATTACCCCTACCGTTGCTGCCCCTGCTCCTCCCCTCCTCACCCCACGTCCTGCATAGCAAGGGCTGGACTCAGTTGCTCTGACCTCACCCCAGCACTGAGGTGGCTTGAAGCCTCCCACGTGATCTGTACCGACTGCTTTATACTCAGCCTTGCCCTGAAAACTCTGGGCCTCGGTCACAGCCTTACTCCTCCCTCTATTCGCTCTTTCTTTTTTTTGTTTTCTTAATTAGTTTATTGTCAGGTTGGTTTCCATATAACACCCTGTGCTCATCCCAACAAGTGCCCTCCTCCATGCCCATCACCCCCCTGCCCCTCTCCCCCACCCGCATCAGCCCTCAGTGTGTTCTCAGCATTCACTGTTGCAACAAATAGTTATGTAGCTCCCTATGGCTCCCTCCAGAGGGCCCAGGTGGGGAAGGCCCGGCCCCTGCCACACTCAAGCCTGTTGGAGAAGTCAGGTCTGGATCCTGGAATAGAATGGGCTGTGTGCAGAGGCTAAGGCAGGCACAGGGGCTGGGGACGCCGAGAGTCAAAGAGTGAGTAGGAGTCCCCCAGGTAAAGCATTTCCAGGGAGGGGAGCGGCTTGGGTGAGAGCCTGGTGGGCAGACAGGACTCCCAGAGCACACTGAGGTTGGTTCCACCACCCCTCTCTCAATGCTGAGGCTGTGCAGGCACCCCCACTTCGGACTCTATCCTCACTTTGTCTCTGTGTCTCGCCCCTCCTCCCTCTTCCCGTGATCACACTATCCAGCTCACCTCCACACAGGACAAGGCCACAGCCTGCTCCCCGTTTTCTGCCAGAACTATGCTCCCCACTCTGTCACTCCCTGAGCCCCAGATCTTTCCACCAGTGCTCCACCCAACGGCCCAGCCTCCGCCCAGCCCTGGAGGGCTCGAGTCCCTACACAGACTGGAGGAGGGGAAACAGGGCCTGTGAGGTCCCAGGGCTCCCCCACCCCCACCCGCTCTTCCCCCACATCCCCGAGTTGCCTGTGCCTCATTCGAATCTCTGCGGGTTTCCCTAGACCTGTCTCTCCTTCCTGTCCCAGTTTCTATCTCTCCCTATGTCTGCGGGTCTCTGGCCCTCTCTCTCCCAGTCTCTCTCCCCGTGGCTCTCTCCCGCCCGGTCTCGGGCTCCATCTCTCCCCGTCTATCCCTCCCGAGGCCGGGCGGGGGAAATCGCTCCGTAAATAGGCGGATGGCCCCGGGCGCTCCGGGCGCAGACACTCGTTTTTAGAGCCGGTAATTGACTCCTTTCAGTTGATAATTCATGGCTTGCATATGCGCTTTAATGCGGGCGCCCGGGGAGGCGCGGCGGGCGGGGCGGCCCGAGCGCGCGGCGGGCGGCGGAGCGGCCGGGGAGGGAGCCGGACTCTGTCGGCCGCGGGACGCCGGAGGAGGGGCCGCCTCCGCCGGGGTCCGTCCGCCCCGGCCACCCGAGACCGCGCGGGGTGACAGAACGGAGCGCGACGGGTAAGGCGGAGAGGCCCGGGTCGCCCCTGGGCCGGTGAGACGACGCGGGGCTGACTGGCAGCGCCCTGGAAATGAAAAGGGGGGCGAGGAGACACGCGGACACCCTCCCTCCGTGCAGTCACAGTGGAAACGGAGGCCCGGAAAGGGGAGAGCTCTTACCTGCAGCCCCACAGCACGGAAACAAGACCAGAACTCAAGGCACCCCCTTCCCAGAGTATCCTAGTCAGGGGCCTCGGTGCCAGCCTTTGTAGACACCCCTTCCCCCCGGAATTCTCCCGTTTAGGAGGTAAACGCCTCCCCTGGAGTGACCCACCACCCTATCGCTCTCGGGCTTCCCCAGGAGGAGCTGGCTCTTCCCGCTGAATTCTGGACACCGACACCAGACCTGACGCGGCTTCTCACCCCAGCAGTGACTCCCGGGCTGGGGAGGGGACCTCTTCCACCCTGCCTTCACCCCCTGTGGCGCGGTCTCATCCTGCGGCTGTGGCGGATGTAATCCTTTCCATCGCACAGAAGAAACTGAGGCTTAGAGAAGCTGGGAGGCTTGCCCAAGGTTGCGGAGGAGGCAGAGAAGAAGCTGGGCTGTGAGCGCCCTGATCAAGCCTTCCACAGTGGAAGTAGCAGGAATGGGAAGGGGAGAAGGAGGCAGTGTCCTGTCCCTGGACATCCCATCCGCACCCAGACACAGCCTCAGCCACTGTGGCAAAGGGCGCTGCGGAAGCCAGTGACCTGCCCATAGTCACGCAGATCAAGCAGCGATTTCAGCTAAAGATGGTGCTGGCAAGTGGTGAGAGGTTACAGGTCAGCGCTCTGAGCTGGATCTGGGGACAAAGGTGGTTGTTGACCCAAATATCAGCTCAGGAGAAACAAAAGAAAGCCTAGCCTGGAGGGAAATCTGGAATTAGGAAGGGCTTCCCGTTTACTTGGCCCTTTGGCCCAGTATCTGCCTGCCACTCTCTTTCCCCAGGCTAATATCAGACAAAAGTAGAATTCTGCCTTCAATGTCTTACAGTCTACTAATGTGTAAACCACCCAGCTTATCCCTATGTCCCCCTATCTCGGTCTCCCCATCTCTAGTTTTCCCATCTGTGCAATGGAGTTTAGACTGGGAAAGTCCTGCTTGAGTGGATCTGAAAGCTGAAGGCCAACTACTGTGTGTGCTGTGTGAAGCTCAATGCTGCCCCCTGGTGCCCAAACCGTTGCAGCCGGTGGGAATGAGGGAGGAGGCAGGAGGCACTTAAGGTAGAAAGCCTCTCTGCTTTTTCTCAGCGTCTCCCGTTTATGGGGGAGAGAGGACAAAGCAGGAGCCCTGCTAGCCCTGTCTGGGGAGAAAACATGAGGCTCCTTCTCTAGCAGAGAGTTCAGACTCTGGCAGAGCCTGGAGATACGTAGAGGCCACAGTGAGGTCAGCAAGAGCCCTCTCTCACCTGCACCTGGACATCCCAAATGGTTCCTTCTGTGTAGGTAGAGTCAGGGCTTCCCTTCAGGTGTGATTCCTTCTTTTTTTTCCCTTTGTTTTATTTATTTATATTGAGAGAGAGAAAGCACATAAGCAGCGGTGGGGGGAGAGAGTGGGGAGCAGAGAGAGAGAGAATCCCAAGCAGGCTCTGCACTGCCAGCATAGGGCTCAAACTCAGGAACTGTGAGATCATGACCTGATCCAAAATCGAGTCAGACGTTTAAACGACTGAGCCACCCAGGTGCTCCTGGTGTGATTCCTTCTTAGTTAAACTCGGGTCTTTTCTGCCTGAAATTCTACCATCTGTGTTCAGAGGAGGTACTTAACAAATGGAGGATGGATGGATATAGGTGGATGGGAGGATGGATGAAATCTATTCCTCTGCGTTGAGGTATTCTCTTCAGAAAGTCTGTGCTATCACCCACAGGGAGGAATGAGTCCATTAGCTTGCCTAGCTGAAAAGTGGAGTGAGATACAGAAGGGGTAAGTTTTAATGCATGAGGATCTCAAGAGAGTTCAGATAAAGGGAAGGTCATGGGGGGAGTTGGAGGGATCAAAGAAGACTTCCTGAAGGAGGTGGCATTTGATACAGGGCTTGAAGGACAGAGAAGACAGTGAAGGTGTTTGGGTGATGGGAACAGGGTGACAGAGGCACAGAGGCAGAAGTGCAAAGCATGGGCGCCTGAGTGGCTCAGTTGTCTGAGCGTCCGACTTCGGCTCAGGTCATGATCTCACGATTCGTGGGTTTGAGCCCCACATCGGGCACTGTGCTGACAGCTAGTTCAGAGCCTGGAGCCTGTTTTGGATTCTGTGTCTCCCTCTCTCTCTGACCCTCCCCTGCTCATGCTGTCTCTCTCTCTCAGAAATAGATAAAACATTAAAAAAAAAAAGTGCAAAGTGTGCTCGTGGTGGCAAGAAGGCTCCAGGTTGAGGGAAGGGAGGGAGGCTGTGCTGTGAGGGAGCCCTGGCAGAGGAGGCTGTGGAGGATCTTGGGAGCTGCTGAGTGTCAAGCCAAGAAATTGACACTTTGCAGGCTAAGCTCTGAACTGTGAGCCTGAGTCTGGGTCCCAACCTAGAGTCTGGTCTGACTGGGTTTCACTCCCTTGGCCTTACTCTTTGAAACTTTCTCTAGACAGCAATGGGAGCCATGGCAAGTTCTTGATCAGCGAAGTGCCTAGAAGTCACAAGTCAAAGAATAGTCCAGTTGACAGGTACCATGGACCTCATCATATCTAACCCCTTCAGTTTGTAGATGAGAAAACTGAAGTCCAGAAAGGGGAAGCAACTTGCCCAGCATCACACAGCAAGCCAGTGGCAGAGCCAGGGCTTTAACCCAGGTCACCAGCCTCTCTATTTGGGGCTCCTTCCCCTCTGCTACAGTCTGGGATATCATCTGGGGGACTGAGCTGGAGGAGAGTAGCTGGAGGCAGAAGGCCACCAGGAGGCTAGAGCCCCACCTAGACCAGAGATCACAAGATCAATCAGTCAGAAATATTTATTGAGCCCTTCACCCTGTGCCCCATCTTGGGCCAATGTGAGGAGTCCATTTCTTGAGTACCTGCACAGAGTAACAACAAAGAAAAGGAATGTGGTGGGCTTCTGGGAGGAGGAGACGTGAGGGAGATATGGTATTCATGAGAAGGAACATCAGGAGCAGACTTGGACGAGAATGAAGGTCTCCAGGAGGAGTGGCTGGTCACTCGGATCCCCTGTGGTTCTTGACCAAGGTCTCCACCTCTTTCATGAATCGGAGACACAGCTCTTCTTCCCATGGCAGGGCAACACACTGCACAGCCACAGGAAGCCCCACGGATCCTTGTACCGCCTGCCCAGAGAGAGGGTCCGTGGACTGAGAGCCTGCTTTCTGCTCACAGGTCCCTCGTCCAGCTTTCCTCACCACCCATATGCATTAGTGCAAACATTTCATCCCTAATCTATATTAAGGTAGAGATGTCCTGGAGCTCAAAGTTCCAGGCTTCCTCAGCTCCCAGGGAAATCTGGAAAACCTATTCTGACTGTATCGGTCTATACTTCTCCAGGGTCAAGATGTAAAACTTGCTCCTCATGCACAGAACTGACTATAATCATGAAATATAAAGCTGTTAACTAAAAAAATGTTTGTAATGGGGGCACCTGGGTGGCTCATTTGGTTAAGCGTCTGACTTCAGGTCAGGTCATGATCTCATGGTTCGTGAGTTCAAACCCCACATCGGGCTCTCAGCCTGGAGCCTGCTTCAGATTCTGTGTTTTCCTCTCTCCCCACCCCTCCCCCACTTGCATTCTCTCTCTATCTCTCAAAAATAAACATTAATTTTTTAATAAAAAATGTAAAAAAATAAAAAATATAAACCTGAGTATCCACCCAATGTTCTCAGCAAAGGAAAGAAGAATGTGCAAACTCCTGACCCAGAGCCTGGATCTGGCTTCACTTCTGCAGCGAAAGGTGTATTTTGACCTCAAACACAGACTCAGGAACATGGGGACTGAGCCTGAGTCCTGCCATGAAATCCAAACATAGGAATTCAAACATGTTTGCATTGTTTTATGATGATAAGATCCAAGCCTTTTTTGCCTTTGTGCTGGAGCCAAGTCAACTGGCTTCAAGTCCTGGCTCCTACACTTCAGCTGTCTGTGGCACGGGTCAAGGCTCTTAACCTGTGTGTGCCGCGTTTCCTCATTTGTAAAGCCTCACAGGAGAGTTACGGGATTTAATGATTTAATATATATACAGCTCTTTTTAAACAGCTCCTGGAACAGAGTAAGAGCTCAAGACACATTAGATGGTATCCTTATTGTTATTTTCTCAGAATTCAGGTCAGCAGTTCCACTGGGTAACTCTAGCACTAAAATCAATTTCCAAATAAAGTAAGTTGCTTAATGTCTGACTCAGGCACATACATACTTTTCAGAGTCAGTCTCTCCCTCCTTCTCTTTCTCCCTGTCACCCAAGACAGGGTTGTCATTTTAGACTGTGCATTAAATACGTCTATGGAAATATTTCCTTTTATGAAGCTACCTCTGAACTAGTAATAGTAGCATGTGTTGTACACTTCCTGTGTACAAAGCCTTATGCTAACTGCTTCACTGTTTTTCAATGGAATCAATAGGACAGCCCTGCAAAGTAGATATTTTAATTCCTAGTTTCTTGGCGAAGAAATCAAGGCTCAGAGAGGGCAGGGTCCAGTCCAGTTACATAGTAAGCTTCTAACCAGGGGCATTTGCCCCCTTTTTCCTGCCTCTGGGATAGACTTTCTCTAGGGAAGTGCCAAGAAGACCAGTGGTTTTGTTAAGTATTCTCCCAGGACAAGGACAGAGGCTGACTTAGAGCTCAAACGGTGTGCCCTCAGAGATGGGATGACACAGTAGCAGCAGTGATAGAGGATAAACACTAGGAGTGGCTGGCCCCTCCCTGCCCGCACAAGCCCGACTGGGATTGAGGCAAGAATCAGTCCTGGCTTGTGCCCCTGGGAGGGAGGCGTGGAGAGGGAAACTGACCTCCCGGAAATGCTTGTCGGAACTATCTCCGTAGTATCCCTTGTAGAAGGCCAGTTCCTCCTCGTCCTGCGGCGTCACAGTGGTGACCGGCACGACGCCAACAGGGAAGTCTATGATGTTGTACAGGTTCGTGTAGGAGCTACTATCTGTAGGAGATCCAGGCAATCCCAGAAAATCATCAGTGGACAAAAGACTCAGGCGGGGAGGAGTGTTATGTGAGCGCCCCCTCAGGGCCCTTCTCGGAACTGCAGCCCTCCCGTTCCACGTTGGGAGGGCCAGCTGACAGCTGCCCCACGCTCACCCCGCGGTGGAGGGAAGGAGAGAATGGACACTGCGGAAGCCTTACTCAGTGCCAAGCCCTGTGCTGGGCCTCTTCATTGCGGATTCCTTGAGGCCTCTCCACCCGTGTGAAGTGGTGTCAGCACAGAGCCTGATGTGGGGCTCAAACTCCCGAATGGCAAGATCATGACCTGAGCTGAAGTTGGACGCTTAACGGACTGAGCCACCCAGGTGCCCCAAAATATTCTCTTTTTATCATGGTGGTGGTAATACAGCTATACGTATTTGCTAAGATTTATCAAATTCCACTCTGAAAATTGGTGAGTTTCACTGCATGTAAATTATATTTCAGGGGCGCTCAGTTGGTTGGGCGTCCAACCCTTGCTCTCGGCTCAGAACATGATTTCATGTTTCAGTTCCTGAGATAGAGCCCCGAGTCGGGCTGACAGCACATAGACCACTCGAGATTCTTGTTCTGCCTCTCTCTCTCACCCTCCCTTGCTTGCACTTTATCTCTCAAAATAAATAAATAAACTTTAATAAATTAATTTTTTTTAAAAAAAAGTGAATGGGAAGGGCACCTGGAAAGGGCACCTGGCTCAGTGGGTTAAGCATCTGATTCTTGGTTTTGGCTTATATCATGATCTCACGGTTTGTTCCTTAATTCGAACTCTTGTTATCTGGCTCTGCATCTGGCTCTGTGCTGACAGTGCAGATTTTTCTCTCTCTCCCTCTCTGCCCCTCTCCCACATGCATGTGCTCACACACACTCTCTCTCTCAAAAGGTAAAATAAACTTTTTAAAAGATGAAAACTAAAAATAAATAAAAGGGAATGGGAAAAATTGGGAGTGTCTGCTAACAGGTACAGGGTTTCTTTTCAGGGTAATGGAAATGTTCTGGAATTAGACAGTGGTGGTGTTTGTACCACATCCCAAATATACTAAAAACTACTGAACTGTACACTTTAAAATAGTGAATTTATGTCCTCTGAATTTTATCTCAATTTAAAACATTGTTTTAAATATTGAATGGTGACAGAGGTCAAGGCCTCAGAGACTGTGGCAAGACTTTGAAGTCCTGGAATTCTAGGTCTCAACCCCGCCAGGACCTAGTGGCCTCTCACCTAGTCCCACGTCAGAAGAGCATATATGGAAGGCAGGGTCCAAAGTTGGCACCAGCAGCACATCCAGGTCCAGGGACCTCCACTTGGCTATGAATTTTTGCTGATATTCCTTCAGGGATAGTGAGGTATGGGAGGGGTAAGGCCAGCAGAGGTCACTATTTGCAGGACAAGGTCAGGGGCTCCCAGACCCAGTCCTGTTAAAGATCGGGAAGAATTCCTAGCCTGTAAGATACAGATTAAGCTATCTGGCGAGGGTCAGGGCCTTCCCAGGGGCTAAGGTAAAGGGATGGCAGGGGGAGTCTCAGACTGCAGTCACTTGGGAACAACATATCCTGGCCCCAAGGAAATGGACTACATTAAGCTCCTGGGTCACCAAGCCTCCCCATCTGGGTTTAGCCAGGCCTTCCCTGTAGGCCCGGGACAGAGCTCTACTCCCTGCCTGGCTACTCCTATCCCCACGCAGGCCTCTGCTGCCCCTATTCCGGCAGTCCCTTGAAGTCTCTTCAGGCACACATCACCTGCACTGCACTGTGATGCTCCCACAGCTTCTTGGGAGTCCTGGGGGAATAAAGAAGACTCAGAATTCCAAAGGTCAGTATGGGAGGACCCCCTTTTATACAAATGGGGACATTACAGCCAAGAGTTAGAACTTAGTCTCAGTGCAGGTTACAGACCAGCTGAAGGGCTAGGATGACCCCGTGTTTTATTCGCTGACCAAAATACCTTGCCTATCCAACGTTCCCGAGAGTACACACCCTCTGGGAGATGCCCTCCTCCCCCACCATCAGCAGCCACAGGGACTCAGAGCCTCCCCTCAAAACCATAGGTTCTTCTCCTAGCTTGTGAGGCACCCCAGTCAGCCCTCAGGCTGACCAATTCCAACCTTAACCCCAACCGCAGCCTAAACCCAACTTCAACTCAGGCCAACTTTTACCCTAAGCTAACTCTAGCCAGAACTCAGAAGCTTAACTCCAAATCAAACCCCAGGCCCAAAGTAGCCCCAATCCCAAACCCACTCAAAAGTCTAAATTTAACTAGTGTCAGACATGGCCCTAAAAACCTAATTAGATCCCAAAGTCTAAATAGCCCTCACCTCCAGTGGATGCCAACTCCAGCCAATGGCCCTCACTCAGTTCCCCCACCCCATGAAAGATGCTTGTGAGCTTGACCTGAGGAGACTAGCACTCACCCCACTCCACGGATCTCTTCAAAACTCTGGCTAGCTCGGGGATCCTAGAGAGAGAGACCCATTCAGAAACCACAGGGCAACACCAGCCTGCCCAGGATGGGGGTCCAAGAAGAGCAACTCTGCTCAGCACACTATCATGGAAGCTTCCACTCCTCCACAAGCCCTGAGCCCCCTCTAGGCCACTACTCCCTCTCTGAAAACCCTTCCTCTTTTTGAGATGCACTCTTCTCTCTGAAAGCACCCTTCTTTTGTCCCCATCAGCCCTTTCAGCTCCTCTTCTCTAAGCCCCCACTACTCTCTGGGCCCCGTCCTCCTCTCTGAGTCCTTCTCCTCTCTGGGCTCCTCCCCTCCTGAATGCCTTCCTACTTTGGTCCCACACTCACTATGTACTTCAGGATCCAGGACAAAAAACACTTGAGTGAGTCTGGCAGGTGGAGCAGGCTGATCAGTGTCTTTATGCAAGGGTCCACAATGTCCCCCTCACTGAGGAACCACAGACACATATCTGGTCAGTTACAGCCTTTCAGCCATCGACTGGCTCCCGTATCCACCCAACTCCCATTCCAAAGCAAGCCATGGAAGGAGGTCAGACCCAAAGAAACACTTCTGTTTCCACTACTGCCACCCTGGAACTGTGCATAGTGAAGATGGAGACCAAAGAGCTGACTTGCTGTTTAAGGTCACACAATTAACCAGAGGCATCCCACCAGCCCAGGCCCACAGTCCCTTCCTAGGGCACAGGTCGCCGCCAGCCCCATCCCCAACCCTGTTTTCATCATGCCCTGTCTGAGTCCTGACAAACTTACACCTTCTCCAGAACGCTGGCCCCTCCATCGCCAAACACACCCCCTATGAACAGGTGTTTGACAGCATACTCTACACAGGGGATGGTAAAGGGGATGACCTGGGAGACAGAGGCTGAGTCAGGGCCTGGATTTCCTCCGGCCCCATCTTTGCATCCTTCAGGATTTAAAGAGAGGATACCAAACTGCAGCTCCTCTCCATCCACCCCAGCCCCTCTGCTGCCATGCCCACTCCTTCACCCTGCACAGAGACACCATGGCATTTAGGCAGCCCTGCCTGCTTCACTGGGATCCAGCCCCATGCTGAGTGCTTCACATATGTGAGCTCATTTAATCTGCACAGCTGCCCTATGTGGTAGAAAACTGAGGCTTGGTGGTTAATAGACTGGCCCAAGACCACATAGTACACATGTAGCCAACCAACAATTTTCAAAGGGGATGCAAGGCCAGGACAAGCCATTGGAGGGAGGCAGGGGCTGGGGAGGGAAGTGATTTTGAGGACACAGTTCTCCTTACAGCCATTTAATGGAGAAACCCAAGCTACAGGAATTATAGGAGTGAGTCCCTGAGTCCCCACCACTGAAGAGGAAGGCTGCAAAATCTTGATGCCTTCCTCACAGGGTGGGGCCCACCCTGTCCCCAGCTGCCCCCATCAGTCTTCTCCAGGAAGTTTAGGGGAAACACAGTGATGTTAGCAACTCAAACTCGGATATAACTTCCTTTCCCTCCAAGCATTAATGGCTCAGCCCAGCATCCTCTCTAGTCTGGCTTCCCTCCCCATCCAAGGCTGAGCAGGCCTACCTGATGTCCTGCATCCTGGAGCAGCCTGGAGGTGAGCCTCACAGCTCTGGCCATGCTAGGAGATGGCTGGGTGAAGCCATCTGTTTCACAATAGCCAATTCGAAGGGGCTCGTTACTGGAGTATACCTGCGGGCAAGAGGGGCTGGGTGGGACTCTCAGGAGAGACTGGGCCTCTTTAAGACTTAAGACTTATAGGTTAGGGCCTTGGGACACAGCTGTTTTCAACCCAGTGGAATCTACAGAGGCTCCCCAAGAGCTCCTTGGAGGCCCTCTATATACTTTCCAGGCTCTAGGTCCTCTGGAGGAACTCCTGGAAGAACAAATGGATGAGGACATGATTGGGTGAATGGAGTGGATAGATAGATAGATGGTAGATAGATTCATGAATGAGTGGGAGGGTGTATGTATGAGATGGTGAATGGGTGGGTGGGCAGAAGTTGAATGGATAGATGGGTGGGTGGAAGAATGGATGGTTGGAATTGAGTGGGTGGGCAATTAAGTAAGTAGATGAATAGACACAAAGATCTTTAAACTAAAAACAGCCAGGAGAGGATGGAGATGGAGAGATCAGTAAAGGCAAAAAATAGATGACAGAAAATGATCACAGGTTGATTGTACTAGGGTATGAGTAGGGAATCAGATGAGTAGACATTGAATGAATGGGGTGGACAGAGACTCTCCCTATGGAGAGGGTTCTGGAGCAGACAGGGCTGGGGTCAAAGCCTACCTCTGCCAGTTACTATCTATGTGATCATAGGCAAGTCACTTCCTTTCCCCTCATTTCCTCACCCGTAAATTGAGAAGCACAATGCTCATTCCATAGAGTGAATATTAGGATGAACTACAGAGAGCCTGAACATAGGGGAGCCTGGGTGGCTTAGTCGGTTAAGCGTCCGACTTTCGCTTAGGTCATGATCTCGCAGTTCGTGGGTTCGAGCCCCGCGTCGGGCTCTGTGCTGACTGCCAGCTCAGAGCCTGGAGCCTATTTCAGAGTCTCTATCTCCCTCTCTCTCTGACCCTCCCCTGCTCACGCTGTCTCTCTCTCTCTCTCTCTCTCTCTCTCTCTCCTAGAAATAAATAAAAATATTTAAAAATTGTATTAAAAGAGCCTGAACATAGTAGGTGCCAATAAATGTTGTTGAATGAACTACTGAATAAATGAAGGCTGCCAGAGCTGGAATGTCCTGGAGCAATCTTCAGGTGCAACCTCTTTATTACACCACTGAGGAGACTGGGGCCTAGAGAAGAGATGTGACTTGGGCAAGGTTACCTAGAGGACTAACAGCCTAACTTAACCAGATACCAGACTCTAAACCATATCTGCTGAATGTATGTCTGTGTGTGCTGGGTATTTGATGATGAAGTTCCTCTCTGGGGGCAGTATTTGTTATGACTCCAAGTAACTGAGAGGCCAAAGCAGGGGTGGGATGTGAACATGACTGAGCATGGAGGCTTCTTGGTCACTGTACCTTGGGCTGGGAAAGGAGGTCTCCACAGAAGATAGTCAGATGGTAGACAGGTCAATGAGGGGAGGAGAGGGGAGAGGTGGGAGCTCTCCAGTCCTGTTCCCCAACCCAGCTTACCTCCTCCCTGAAGGGCATGAAAGGCACAGTGGGGTCCAGTTGGTGCATGTCTTCACTTAGCAGGGCTCGCAGACACAGGGCCAGGCTTTCCACATCCCGGGCCATGGGGCCAGCCACTGTAGTCACTGAACAGAGAAGAGGCAGACTCCTCTCATCCTTTCTGTTCCGGGAACCCCCAGTGCCTGGCCTCAGAGGGTGGAGCCCTGGACCGTGATCAGAGTTAAGGGCCCTGGGGCCAACCTGGGTCAGGGGTTGGGGACAGGTAGCACTGGCACACCAGCCAAAGTAACTCTGGTGCCTGAAAGGAGAATCTCATCTGGGGCCATACATCTAGAGACCAATAGGAGAGATTAAAGCTAGATAGTAGGAAGCACTTCTCATTGGACTAGGGGAGGCCTAGTGGGAACCATGCTTTATCACCAGTGGGGTTAATCTGTCTGACATAGGGGATGAGTGAGATGTCCTTGGGAGGAAGGCTGGCAGTTTTATCTTTGAATGGGGGTGTCCACAGGCACAGACAGGAGCTTACCTGATTTAATGCCCTTGACAGGAGAGACAACTCCAGAGTAGCTGCAAAACCCCACCCACCCAGAGCCCACTTCAGCACTTGCAGGGAAGGGCCTGAGTGCTGAGGCCTTAGTACCCAGCCAAGCACTCCCCCAGGGCCCAACACCCAGGAAGAGGAATTGCTTTAATCCTCCCATGACCCTACTGCCCACAGCATTAAGTCTGATCTCTTTGACTGACTTCAAGGTTCAAGGCTCTGACGTATCAACTCACAACTTCCCCATTCTTGCTCTTCAACACATAACATATTACTCCAGGCAAAGTAAGCTGCTCACAGTTTATAGCCTTCTAGACTCTACACCATCTCTCATGTCCATCCTTCAAAACCAAGGTCAGATTCTGCCTCCTCCAGGAAGCCTTCCTTTCCCTTGCCCTGCCTTTGAAAGTTTAAAGTCTAGGCTTTTAAAAAATCTCTGTTGAAGAAAATGTCAGATTCATCTTGTGAGTTCTGACAAACTTTGACACTCTCCTAGAGCCCCAATCACTTCCTGACTAAGCCATTTGCATGTCTAAGAGCACAGCAGTTGGGGGTGGGGTGGGCAGGGACTAGGTCTGAGAGTGTTCTGGGTCCCCAGCACAGGGGCCACCACAGTGTAGGTTCTCAGGGTGGGGCTGAAAGATGGGTAGATGAATAAGCAGAGGCAGATATGGATGGATAAACAGATGGCAAGATGAGTGGATAGATGGGGAGATAAATGGATGGATGGATGGATGGATGGATGGATGAATAAAGGGAAGGAACGATGTATATATGATTTTCAAGAGCTGAGGTAGTTGTCCTTTTGCTTACTGATATAGCCCAAATAACTAGTATAGTGTCAGTCACAGAAGAAACACTCAATATATTTGTTAGATAAATTAAATGGTAGATGAATAGTGAAACTGATTGATGGGATGATGACTGCATAGGTGGATGAATGGACAAAGGATGGATAGATGGAAAAATGGATGGATCAGTGAATGACTAAGGGAACAGGGAGGTAGATGGATAGATGTAAAGATGAATAAATTAATGTACAAATGAGTTAGTGAGAGTGGAAGGTCCATTGTGCTGCCACCTGTACCAAACATGGTGTATTTATCTGGGGCTGAAGCAGGAGTTATTTGAAGCCCTCCTACCTTTAGCCATTTTCACTAGTACTGAGCTAAATGAATAAGAGTTGAGGTGCAAGCAGGCCCCTCTATTCCCCCCCAGACCTCTGTTCCCCAGCACTGGGCTGAGTCTAACTTGCCTCCCTCCCCCCAGCACCAATCACCTGAGGCGGTGTCCTGTGGTCCGGAGGCCACAGATACCACAAAAGCTGGCTGGTACGCGGATGCTGCCAGCAGTGTCAGTACCCATGCCCAGAATGGAACCTCCTTTTGCCAGCAGGGCTCCTTCACCCCCTGAGGAGCCCCCTGGTGTCTTCTTTAAGTTCAGAGGGTTCAGAGTCTGTCCATAGATGGGGTTGCTGCAATTAAAGCTGAGAGAAGCAGAAGAAAAGGAGCTGGGAGGTGAAAGTTTAACTGGGGAGACACCCTTCCCTATGTAGAGACTGACCCCTGGGGAATCAACCTCAGGGCTGCTTTGGCTCCCAAACTCCTCCCTGGGGCTGAGCCTCCCAGTCTCCCTTACAGGTGAGGTGAGGGCCTACTGTCACAGGACAGACCAAGAGTGGACACCAACCACAAATCCCAACTTAAGGACAGAAGCCCACAACCCTGCTGTCAGAGCTGGGAGCAGGTTCCTCATAAAAGTAGGTACACTAAATACTGAAGGAGAGGAGAGAGAATAAGGGATGAGAAAAACAATCAGAGAGAGAAACTGGGATAAACACAGAGGTGAAACTCTTTAGAACCTCAGAGTCTGAGGGCCTGTAGTGACAATGGAGTCCACCCAAACATTACAAGATGAGGAAGCTGCGGCTCAGAGAGCAGAAAAGACTTGCCCAAGAACCTTGTTCCTCATGATCTGCTTGATTGGCCTCCACCTCACCCTCTTCTCTGAATTGGGATTTTGTGTTGCTGTCAGTCCTGGGCTCTGCCCCAAACCCAGCCCCTGCCTACCCACTTCAGAGACCTGTACAGTGTCTGGGGGATGTTGGTCTTAACGAAGGGAATAGCTCCCTGAGCCTTGAGCACTTTCACAATGACTCCGTCCTTGACCGCTGGCTTCTCCAGGAACTGGGCCAGGCCACACGTAGAATCATGGCCCTGCAAGGAAGTGACATTAACTCCAGCCCCTACGGGCCAGGATGTAACCACCCAATGGACAGACTCTCCCCCTTACTCTGCTCGCACACTCACGCACATTGTCACGGCCTCTGAGACTTGCACACTGTACCCTTAGGAGAGCTCACAAGTGCCAGAAGAACATGGTGGGCAAGAATTGGGTTCAGTTCCTACCTGACCACTTTCTAGTTGTGCATCCTTGATTAAGTAGCTTGCCTAATGTCACACAGTCAGATGCTCACAGGCTCAGTGGTGTATGGGCACACACACAGACATGTACACATGTGAACATACACCTCCCGGCTCACCTTGCAGTCATAGGGGTCCTTGAGGCTGATGGGGACCCCATAGAGAAGGCCTCTCTCAGTCTTCCCAAGCTTCTTCAATGCCTGCAGTTGCTCCTCACACTCACCCAAGAAATCCGTCAGGCAATTCACTTCCTGGTGTACCTTCAGTGCCTGAGCAACATTGAAGGAGACCAGCTAAAGGGCTCAGGGTGAGGCCAGGGATGGGGCACCCAGTCACCCCAGCCCCTCCCATGACCCCGACTCAGGGCAGAATAGAAATGACAGATGACTGTGGCCCGCACCCCTTCCCAAACCAGCTGCAGCACCACGATGTTACACCTGACGCCCACCTTCTCTGAGTAGGACAAAAACAGGTGATAGCTTCGACCCTACTCCTGACCCAGACCCCCACCTCCTCTAAGTAGCTACAGAGGACACTCTCCAGACTGAGCTCTTCATCCCGCAGCTTCTGGGCCAGCGTCTCCAGGGGCAGCTCCAAGATGGGCTTGGGGTCCAGGGATGGCTCCTATGGAGATGAGAGGGCAGATGTCAATGACCGATTTGCTCCAGTGCACTCCCATCCACTCAACATCACATCCTCACACTCTTCTGGATGCATAGTTGCACACACAGCCATGTGCTCAGCACATGCTCCTATACTTGTCCTTAGCATGAAGAATATTTCCTGATCTGTCTCCAGGTTGGCATGAAACCCCTACAGGGCACAGATATTTCCTCTGTCTCTGCCTCTCCAGTGCCCAGCCTGAGGTCTGGCACAGAGGAAAGACTGCCCCCTCATCTTGCTACCCAGAAGGAGCACAACTACAGTAGGAGTGACTGTATATGCATGTTTTGGAACTCAAGGGTTATGGAACTGAGGTTCATCTCTGTATGGTTTGCCATCAAGAGGCACCCTGACATCCCACCTTTCCTTCTGTCCAGCCCTCCCACTTCTGGTGATCTGACCTAGGAAAGGGCAAGATCCAGCATGAGTGGCAGGAGAGCTGGGACCCAGCCTTGACCACACACAGAACTGGTCATCTGTAACCCAGGGTTGATCCCTTCCCCTCCCATGGACTAGGTCTCTCCAAAAAAGGCAGTCATGAGTTACCCAGCTACTCCCCTCAGGGTGTGAAGGGAGGAGTGACACCAGCCCTTCAGGACTCTTGTCAGAAGCAAATATGACACAACAAGGACCTAGCACACCGCAGTCACTGAAGAAGGTGAAGTTGCCATTCTTTGTCCTCCTGGGCCCCAGCTAAGACCCTGATGCCCGCAAGCTGGAGTGGGGGTAGGGTGGGAAGACAGCACAATGGTCCTTTCTTGGTCCTGGAGCGGGGAGGTAGCCGACAAGGGGATTTCCCTGGGAGGTTACGGCTCCAACACTTCTTGTTTGTTAAATCTCTTGGCTTCTTCTTAGTCCCCATCTTACTCTCCTCAGTAGCATCTGACTCTTAGGCACTTTCTTTCTGGAAATTCTCTGTGCCCTCAACTCTCCTGCCTTCTTCCTGCCCCTGGCAGCTCCTTCTCAGTCTCCTCTGCCCCTCTTCCCTCCTGTAAGTAAAAGTTGGTGCTCCTTAGGACTTGGCCTCTTCTCTCCCTATCTGCCCACCCTCTCTGGGTGACTTCAGCATCCAGATGTGTCCCAAGGATGCCCAGATTTCCCTGCGACTGCACTCCAAGCCTATTTCCGGCCATGCCTTAGACCCATTTACTGACCCACATATCCTCAGGCCCCCCCCATGACTTATTGTTTTACTACCAAATCTGTTCATCAGGAAATTCCCAAGTGATGATGCTCTTGTCAGTGCAGTAGTCCTCAGAATCATCCTGGGTCACTCTGTCACATCCCAGTTCTGATGATAGTCACAATAGCTAATCTCAATCACGCAGAAGATGTGTTATAACACTTAATATGCTATAGGCCAAATTCCAAGCATTTTACATATAATAGCTCATGTCACTGCCTACAACAACCCAAGGAAGGGGGGCATATTATTTTCTCACTTTACAATAGAAAAAGACACTGAGGCACAGAAAGCTATTTGCCAAGGACACAAAGGCCATAAGTGGCAGAGCCCGAATCTACACCAGTGGCCATTCTCTTACCCACAAATACTGCTAATAGGTGGTTCTGCCTCCTTTATATCTCTCACTTCTGACTCTCCAGACTCCTTCTTACCTAGAACTTTCTCTCTCAGTTTTCCCAACAGCCTCCTCACTGGCCTCCCTGCCTCTAGTCTCTACCCCTCCAACTCAACCACTTCACTACAGCCTAGGTGATCCTTTTCAGATGCTGTAAAACCCATAGGTCCTAATTGCCCTCAGAATGAAGTTGCAAAGGGGTGCCTGGGTGGCTCAGTAGGTTAACCGGCCGACTTAAGCTGAGGTCGTGATCTTGCGGTTCGTGAGTTTGAGCCCTGCATTGGGCTCTGTGCTGACAGCTCAGAGCCTGGAGCCTGCTTCAGATTCTGTGTCTCCTTCTCTTTCTGCCCTTCCCCTGCTCACGTTCTGTCTGTCTCTCAAAAATAAATAAACATTAAAAATTTTTTTAAAAAATAAAGTTGCAAAACCATTCTCCTCAGTATGGTTTATGGGGCTTTCACCATAAATGTGTAACGTGTGTTATAAACCAAGATTCACGTTTATTGAGTGCTTACTGTGTGACTGGCAACCATGTTAAGCACTTTGCTTGCACCATTTCAGTAAATCCTCACAAAAACCCTTCAAAAGGTGCTTTTATTATCAATATTTCCACTTCACCAACAAGAACAACACAGAGAGGTTAACTCTGTGGCCCAAAGTCATAGAAGTGTAGAGACTTAAACCTAAGTTGTCTATACCTTCACCACCACCCTCTAATGGCTCCTGGGGAGGGAAGCTTTTCTGATGAAGCACCCCCTGGGTGCCAGGCACTGTACTAGGCCCCTTCCCTGCCTAGAATCCCACAGGCCCATTTCACCAGTCTCCTCTTTCTATGTCTCATGTCTATATTCTGCTGCCCTAATCACACTGCCCACTCCTTCCGCTTGCTGTGCCATTTTATCACCTTGGTGCCTCAGCTCAGAACTCCCCCACCTACATGCCACAAAGACTTTCTGAAGGGCCCAGACCTGGATCCCTCTAGGGTTGGAATTTGGCTAGAATGCACCTCAACAGTCACAATGTGGCTGAAATCCTGAAATCCTCCCGACTCACTTAGCAAAACACCACTCCCATGAGTACACCCCCCCCCCAGCTGCCCTAGCCCCTGCCATGGGGCTCCACCTTCTCTTCACAGTCCAACAGGTAATAGGTTAGTGCTCAGCACAGCAGGGACCCTCTAGGCATAGTCTCTGATTCTTTCAAGAACTGTGCTCATCCCTTGCCCTGCTGCCCCCAGCCCTAAGGAGCCCCAGTGGGACCTCCAGGGACCATCACAGCACGCACTGACCTACAGGCTTCTACCAAGACTGCATGCCCATCCCTATTCCTACATATCTACCTGGAGAGGTGGCACCCTGGTGGCACCCTCGTGGGCAAGTGCCCAGTGTCCATCTGGACCCGTGAGGCTAGTGCTTCCCTGCAGTTGCTCCTGCATGGCCACTTGTAAAAATGGCAGCCTCTCAGGGAGCTGGGGAGAGGTGAGAAGAGCAGGCAGAGGGCACTAATGAAGGCCACTGGACGTGGCTGCTCGAACTGTTCCTCTGCTGGTATGGAGGCACTCCAATGACTTGGTGGGATGGGCGGGGCTTTCAGGGGTCCAGCGACATGTTCACCAACTCGGTTGAGTGCCACTTCCACCTAACAGAACAAATTCACTGAAACTCACTAACTGCCCACTCAGCAAGGACATTAGTTTTAGTATTACTCAAGTGGAAGTTTTCATTTATACGGCACTTGTTAGGGGCACCTGGGTGGCTCAGTTGGTTAAACCTCCAGCTTCAGCTCAGGTCATGATCTCACAGCTCATGAGTTTGAGCTTCATGTTGGGCTCTCTGCTGTCAGCTCAGAGCCCACTTCAGATCCTCCGTCTCCCTCTCTCTCTGCCCCTCCTGGGCTCTTGTGCGTCCTCTATCTCTCTCTCAAAAAAATAAAAAGTAAACATTTAGCTGGTGCTTGCTGTGTGCCAGTCACCACTATAAACACTTGTGAACTTGCTAGAGTACTACAAGTATCACGCCATTGTAGACATGAAGATGTTAAGGCATAGAGGAGTTATTTAAAATACATGCATTAGGAGTGCCTGAGTGGCTAGGTCTGACTTTGGCCCAGGTCATGATCACACAGCTCATGAGTTTGAGCCCTGCATCGGGCTCTGTGCTGACAGCTCAGAGCCTGGAGCCTGCTTCAGACTCTGTGTCTCCCTCCCCCTCTGCCCCTCCTCTGCTCGGGCTCTGTATCTGTCTCTCTCAAAAATGAATAAACATTAAAATTTTTAAATCTATGCATCAGAGTCGAATTCAAACACAGACTGTCCAATCCTCTCTTAACTACCACATTCCTAACTATCCTGTTATACAACTTCTTATGAGGCCTGTGAGATCATAATCACTGTAGTTTATTATGACGTTCTAATAACAATGTTTGCGACTTAGTTGATAACAGAGATGCTTGAGTATACAGAATCTCAGAGAGCATTAGAACAGCTAAACAAGGGGCACCTTGGTGACTCAGTCAGTTGACCATCCTACTCTTGACTTTGGCGCAGGTCATGATCCTAGGCTCATGGAATTGAGCCACACATTGGCTCTGAGCTAGACAATTTTGAGTGTAATTGCTACCGGTTTGGCAGAAGCTGAGCGAGGACATGGTTGATGTTGATGGAAAGCCTCTGCTTAAGGAGACTACAAGTCATCTAATGACTCTCAGTTTATTGAGAGAGCTTTGAAAGATAGGGACATCTTCCGGAGGTTATAGCCACATCAAAAGATCCCCACAAGTTCTCTAAAAATTAACAAATTACTTGGAAATTATTAGGATAATTCGATGAAAGAACTGAACCTTAACTTATATCATTTTCTTTTTTTTAATAGTTTATTTATTTTTGAGACAGAGACAGAACATGGGGGGGGGGTGTGGCACAGAAAGAATGGGAGACACAGAATCTGAAACGGGCTCCAGGCTCTGAGCTGTCAGCACAGAGCTGGATACGGAGCTTGAACTCACAAACTGTGAGATCATGACCTGAGCCAAAGTCAGATGCTTAACTGACTGAGCCACAGAGGTGCCCCAAGAAAGTATACTTTAAAGTTGTTAGTAAATTGATGTATTATTAATATTTCCATAGTGGTTGTTGGGTAAGTGTAATATCATAAAAACCCTCAACCCTCAGGGTGGCTAATTTCCCCCTGAGGTGACCAGAGTTTTCTAGCCAGTGGCCTTCAGCCATGGGCAGCGTGTCTATTTACTCCAGTGGACTAGGAGTACTTTTTCTCTGTGATCTACACAAACACTGCCTTATCTCAGGATTTTCTCTCTCTGGTACTGCCTTTCCTCATCCTTCCTGCTTTTGGAAAACTCCTACACATTCTGTAAGGCTCAGCTCCAACACCACCGCTCTGGGAAGCCTTCCCCACCTAGCCCTGTCCAGATGGAGCAAAGCCCTTCCTGCTGAGTCCCACAGCTCCACAGGCATCTAGCCTTCAATCACACTCAGACCAGGGGCATCTTTAAGGCAAGTCTAAGTCAGATGTCAGCTTCATCTTCATTATGAATCTATTCCCAGGGTCTAACGAAAGGCAAGACCCAGAGGAGCCCTCTGTAAAATTTTGCTAAGCTGAACTGAATTGCATTAGTTTGAACCCTGTCAGGGTGCAACCTATGTCTCAGCCTCCCACCTCCCTGGGACATAAAGCTGGACACCTGAGGCCTTGAGGGTATCCCTGGCAGAGGAGAAGGTGCCCAGGAAAGATCTGTATAGCTTTGCTGGGGAGAGAATAAGGTACTGAGAGCCAAGAGGCTTATAGCCTTGGGGGGAAGCTGGAGACACCATGGGTGATCTCATTCCACACCCCTTCCACTCCTCCAGCCAAGCAGACACCCCCCCCCAAGTACCCAGCCCAATAGCCCCATATCCCGGATGCCCACATGCATACCAACCAGATACCCAGACACACACAGAAACAGGTATCCTCACACATCAGAAACCTGACCACACATGTACATGCTCAACCAAACATTCAAAACCGAACCTGTCACATATATCTAGATGTATACCCTCCAACCAGTAACATGACACATACACACCCAGCCAGGCTCACACGGCACAGCTCATAACCAAACACAAGCAGCACACGACCAGGCATACACTCGACCAGCACACAATAAAATCGCAGCAGGAGGCACACATAAGCAGGTTCTGGTGGGTGCAGTAAAGGAACCCAAACCCACCACCGCACACAGAGGGTGCACACACACACACACACACACACACACACACAAGAATCCTCTCCATCATGCTGATTCACCACAGCAACCCCATTAGCCCAGACTTCCTCCTCATCAACCAGGAAGGGGCAGCTGCTCTCTGGGGGCAGATTGATTTATCCAACTAATTAGCCCCAATTAATATTAATACACATTCTCAGGAACTGCATCAGCTCAGGCAGAGAAGCTGCCCCTTGGGGCCATCAATCACCATCCAGGGGACGGCAGAGGACACTCAGGAACTCCAGAGCATGGGGACAACACCTCAGGCACTATGCACAACCCCCACTCCTGGGGCTCCCAGGGAGTCCACCACCATCAACCAAAGTTGAGGACCCTAAGATACCACTCCTTGTAAGGCAGTTGGGGAGCCCAGAAAGGGGCTGTCACATCCTCCAGGCCCCACAGCAGAGCCCAGGCACAATGCAAGGTTAGCTGCCTCTCCTTCCTGCCTTCCTCTCTTCTGCCCTAGGCTGGTTCTGCCACAACACCCACAGCTTAGTGCCTTCACCCAGCCACAATGACTGCATCAGTGCCTTGAAACGTCTCAACCTAAACTGTCAAAAGCCCCTTTTAAGACGCATAGCTTTGGGGCGCCTGGGTGGCTCAGTCAGGCAGGCATCTGACTCTTGGTTTCGGCTCAGGTCATGATCTCACGGTTCTGTGACTTCAAGCCCTCCATTGGGCTCTGTGCTGGCGGTGCAGAGCCTGCCTGGGATTCTCTCTCTTTCCCTTGCTCTCTGCTCCCCCCCAACTCATGCTGTCTCTGTCTATAAACAAACAAACAAACAAACAAACAAACAAACAGACTTAAAAAAAAGACACACAGCTTCCTGGGAGGACCCCATCTCCAATGGCCACCCTGTGCTTTGCATCTATCAGATGCTCTCAAACATCTGCAGAACCCAATGGGGTGGAGGATGGAAGGGAAAATATGTAGACCAGGGTTCCTGTGTCAGTGAGGCTTGGGGGTACTCAGGGGTGGAAGAGACCTGAAAGAGACCTCCTGCCTCCAACTGCTTCCATCAGTTTATCTGATTTCAACAAATAGTTCAAGCGAATACCCACCATGTTACTGAGTCTTGTGTGGGGACTGGGAGAACAATTACAACACACTGCCCCCAACCTCAGTGGGTTCAGAGGACATGGATGAAGTAGGAACTGACAGCAGTACAAAAAGCCAACATGGGAAGGAAGAGCTGGGGAGCGGGGGACTGTCTTCCTCCCAGCCCCAGGCTCTTTGTCTTCTGAAAGGGATGGAGTAATGGTTCTGAGGTGGAATTCACCTATTGGGACTGAGGGCTGGGGGCCTCAGGGATAGATGTCCACTCACCTGCTGCCGGAGACGCTGTGCCAGGGCTTCCATCTGCTGCAAAGCTACCACCCTACGCTTCTGTGCCCTGGGGATCTTGTTCCGCGCTGGAGCATGGTGCCAGAAGAGCAGGACAGCCCTCAGCAGGGCCAGCAAGAGCAGCACCAGCGCAGAGTAAAGCAGCCAAGCTACCCCAGGCATTGTGGAACCTGTGTGGATACGGCGACTGCTTCCTCAAGAACACTGGCTGCTTCTTCGGCAGCTATATGCTAGAGCGCCCTCCCACGTCTGGGGCCACGGGGGGGGGGGGGGCAGGGGCTAGCATGGCCCTGCAGGTGGTGGAATCAAACTCCTCCCACCTAGTCCTTACATCACCTTTTGTCCTGGGGACAAGGGTCCTTGTGCCTCAGGCAATACAAAGGAAGAGGTCTTGACAGAGACAAGCCTGGAGAGGAGCCCAAGCTTGCAGGTGTGCGCAGACATCCTCGTGTCCTTCTCCCCCATCCCACCCCTCAAACATGGCCCCAGAACCTTCGTCTGACCCAGGCCGCTTCTTAATGGAGTTGGCCCTGAGGTTTCCTGCTGCTTCCAGGATAACTGCCAACCCCCTTAAAGTGGTTCACAGGCTATGTAGAGGTAGACTGAACAGGTTCACTCTGGAGGGCATCTGGGGCCCAGGTGGAGGAGGGACTCTGGGGGAGCAGGCAAGGCTCCAAAGGCGCCAGCCGGAGGGAAGATGGTGCAAGGAGTGAGGACTGAGGCAGGCAGGTGTAACTTCACCCCTGCCTCTGTTCCCTTAGCTGGGCTCTAATTGCTGACTCTAACACAAGGTCACATTTCTTGGGATTCCAGTCTCCCCAGTCAATTAGTTCTCCCTCCCTGACTCATCTCCCATCTTCTTTTTGTTCCAGGAGCTCCCTTACAGGCAGGGGAAGCAGTCGAGAGGAGTGTGGGGAGGCAAGGGGGTGCAAACGATGGGAAGATGGGGGCCCCAGAGCAGCAGGATCAGTTGGGGAGCCCTTCTTGGACGTTTTGGTCCAGTCCTGTTTCAGAGGGAAGAGAGGAGCGATCCGTCATGATGAGGCTGCCAGTCCTGGGGACCAGGAGAATGATGGCCCCACCCTCAAGACCAGGAAGTCAGAAGCAGAATTGGCAGTGGGGGGTGAGGAGGAGGACGGGGAAGGCCTGGATAGCTGAGTTCGTTGAGCAACCAACTTTGGCTCAGGTCTGGATCCCTAGCCCTGTGTCAGGCTCCCTCCAATGCCAGGCATCACACTCGCTCTGCTGTGACGTGTCAGGCTCGCTGCTGTCAGCATGGAGCCCACTTCGGGATCCTCTGTGCCTCCCCTCTCTGCCCCTCCACCGCTTGCACATGCGCACACACTCTCTCAAAAATAAATAAACATTAAAAAAAAAAAGGATTGGTGGGAAGGAGATGGGTTTGTGGTTGGTAAGGTAGAATCTGAGCACCGGAGGGCTGCCCAGGGCCAGATGTGCAGTTTGCAGCTGACCTGTTGGTCACGACCCAAAAGGTAACCCCAAGGTCATTTGCTCTCAACACTCTATGTCTGCCCCAATGGGTCTGTGTAACTAACACTCCTCATTGGCAAACTCCCCAGGTCCTTCCTCCTTTTTTCTATTTCCTTCCCCCATGCCCAGGCCTCCCTCACTGAACCCTGGCTCTCCCAATAGCTCAGCTCCCGCAAGCCATCTGATACCTGCACCTCCTGAACCTTGCTTACATCACCCTTTTTCAAGTTGCACCCTTTCATTAGCATATCACCTCATTTTATTTCTTCATTGCACTTACCATTAGCTAAAATGATCTTGTTTACTTATTCCTTGCCTTCCTCCCTAGAAAGGAAGTTCCATGAAAGCAAGGACCTGGTCAGCCCTATTCAAAGTGGCTGGCACAGGGGCGCCTGGGTGGCTTAGTCAGTTAAGTGTCCGACTTTCACTTAGGTCATGATCTCACGGTTCGTGGGTTCGAGCCCCGCGTCGGGCTCTGTGCTGACTGCCGGCTCAGAGCCTGGAGCCTGTTTCAATCTGTGACTCCCTCTCTCTCTGACCCTCCCCTGCTCACGCTGTCTCTCTCTCTCTCCTAGAAATAAATAAAAAACATTAAAAAAAATTAAAAAAAAAAAAAGTGGCTGGCACAAGGTAGCTGCTTGGTAATACTTCTTAAATGGAGGAATGACAGGCAGGTTGAGCCCTCCATTCCCACCTTTCTCTCTCTCTATCTGCTGCCCCTTCCTAGCAGACTTTAACATACTGAAGTCTCTCCCATCTTAAAGTAGAAAAAAAAAAGATTCTAATTTATAGCCTTCATAAATGCTGCCCTTACGTCTTTCCTCCCCTTTCCAGCTAAGCTTCTCAGCTCCTCCACTCCTTGCTGCCTTTACTTCCTCACCTTTTGTTCTCCTGTGCCCATCCCCATCTTGGTTTATGCCCAAATCATCCTATCTTTTTGATGTTGAATCAGCAGGATTTGAAGCCCTCAGCCCAACACTTCCTGATATACACTCATTCTTTGGCTTCTGTGACAATGCAGTTCTTGGCTTAAATGTCAAGACGTGTGGGAAGCATTTGTGCATGCACACACACACACACACACGCACATGCTGGAGAAGGTCCCATTTGGTTTACTCTCATAAAATAATAATAAAGAGGGAAATCTGGGTGGCTCCATTGGTTTAGCATCCAACTTCGGCTTAGGTCATGATCTCACAGGTTGTGAGTTCGAGCCGAGCCCTGCACTGAGCTCTATATTGACAACTCAGAGCCTGAGGCCTGCTTCAGATTCTGTGTGTGTGTCTCTCTCTCTGCCCCCCACCCCCCGGCCACCATGCTCTGTCTCTCTCTCTCTCTTTCTAAAAAAAAAAATCTATTAAAATGGGGTGCCTGGGTAGCTCAGTCAGTTAAGTGTCTGACTTCAGCTCAGGTCATGGTCTCACAGTTCATGAGTTCGAGCCTCACATCGAGCTCTGTGCTGACAGCTCGGAGCTCGGGGCCTCCTCCGGATTGTGTGTGTGTCCCTCTCTGTCTCTCCCCTACTCATAAACATTTAAAATTTTTATAAATAAATAATAAAGCGTTGATTCTGCACTATTGCACTTCTAACAAGAGTTTTTGTGCAATTATGCATTTGATGTCTCTTTGCTGGTAGAACAAAAGCTTCATGCAGGCAGTGACTATTTCTGATTGCTTACCCTGAGCATACTGTGGGAGGCATTCAACATGTTTAGTGGATGGAGGGAAGGATGAAGGGGTAGGCAAATGGGGGAACTGAATGGAGGAGGACTTGCAGAAAGCCACAGGTAGAATATAGACTGGGGGTTGTCTTAATGAACATTAATGAAGGTCATGGTGGTAGATAAGATGAACATGAAGGGAGAAAAGCTGAGGGCAGGGACTGGCTGGGAGGTTTCCTGTTGGGGACAAGAGAAGGAAGTAGTCAGGTGGACAAAACGGGGTCACTAATAATGAGTCATCCGAACCTCTATTCAACAAGCCTTTACTGGGTACCTGCTGAGTACCAGGTACCATGGTGGGTGCCGGACACACAAGAGTGAACCCCACATGCCCTGGCCCCAAGTGACCTCACCCGCCTAAGACACACAGGTCACCACTCCCAAACTATGTGTGGGGATGTGGGGGTGAAGGTGGGGCGGGGGGTTGGTCTGGACTGGCTGGGAGGCTCAGGACTTGATTATGTGGCTGTCTCTTAAGATTGCAGCAGGTCAGAGTGCCCTGGCAAGTGGCCTGGAGTGATACGCCCCAGAATCCTTCCTTGGCTCTGATCTGATCAATATATTTATTGGTGACTTAGAAGCTAAGGAGGTCTAGTGCTCAAACTTGTGGATGGACAAACTGAGACAGAGCAGGAAGGGTGGCCAACAGAATCACAAAGGCTCTCAGGGAGCCTGAGTGGCTCAGCTGGTTAAGCGTCTGACTCTTGATTTCAGCTCAGGTCGTGATCTCGCAGCTCCTGAATTCGAGCCTTGTGTTAGTGCAGAGCCTGCTTGCTCTCTCCCCCTCTCTCTGCCCTTCCCCACCCCTCAAAATAAATAAATAAACTTTAAAAAAAAAAAAAGAATCCCCAAGGCTCTGAATAGGCTGGAGCCCTGGGATGACTTAAAAGATGATCACTAACAGGGACAAATAGCAGGTATACTCAGTGTTCTAACTCCAATATCACAACCCCAGGGAGAGGAAAAGAGGGTGGGAGGGACATGACAGCTCTGCTGTCGATCTACCTTAGCAGAGGAGCACAGGGTATGGACCTTGCTTCTGTCTCCAGTGTTTGTGGTCACGTAGCCCAGAACTTGCCACTCTGAGGTGTGTAGTGCATGTTCTTAGAACGATAGTGCAAAGGCAGAAAGTACATGAAGTCTGGAGTTGGCATGTGGCTTCGAGTCTTCTCTGTGCAAACCTTTGGCCTGGACAAATCAGCAACCTTTTCTAAACTTGTTACTTCACCTACAAAGTGGAAGCAATAATGCTCATCTTTTTCCAGTGGGATAATGGGTTATCAACTCCACAGTTGAACAGATGTTGGAATCTATTAAGACATGGAGTGCTTCAGAGTATGAACAGAAGAGCAAAGAAGCCCTTTCCACACAGCCTGCTAGTTGTAAAGGAAAGACTACCCTCACCCTGGATTAAGTGGGAGGCCTGTAGGTGGAAATGTGAACTAGAGCATTCCAGAAACAGCAAGTACAGTGAGCAAAGGTCATGGAGGTGGGAGGTGTGCACAGTGCCCCAAGCTCCATGCAAGGCCCACATGACTAAGATGTGAAAGGGAAGGAGACTAGGGTCAGCCAACAGCAGCATGGCCAGCTCAGGAAAGGCCGTATAGGTCACAGCCAGAAGTCTGACTGAACACAAGGGATACTAAAGGTTTTAGGCATGATCACATTTGTGTTTAGAAAGGTCACCCAGGGGCGTTTGGGTAGCGTAGTCAGTTAAACATCTGACTCTTGATCTTGGCTCAGGTCATGATCTCACTGTTTATGAATTCAAGCCCCATATTGGGCTCTGCGCTGATGGTGTGGAGCCTGCTTGGGATTCTGGCTCTCCTTCTCTCTGGCCCTCCCCTGCTTGTGCTCAATCTTTTTCTCTCCCTCTCAAAATAAAGAAATAAACGTATTAAAAAATTTTTTTAAAGAAAGAAGTCACCCATCTGCTATATGAAGGACAATTGGAGAAGACCAGTCTGAGGCAGGAGGCACCAGGCAAGAAACACGATAGTGGACCTGGGGAGAGGGAAGAAGCCATGTGGTTCCCAGGGTCTTGAGGCCGCTGGACTGGTGGTCAGACAGGAAAGAGGAGATGGCTGGTTTATACTGCCATTCCTCCATGCCTCAGGGTCATGGGGCATTAGGAAGAGCTCTCTGCCAAGGCTCTGACACAGACTAACCCAGGTTTTGATTCTAGGTCCCCCACTTCTAGCTGTAGAACTTTCTATAAAAGAGGACAAAGATGCCTACCACAGGGTTAATAGGAAAATTAAATGACATGATGACTATCAAGTGCCCAGAAAGTAGATGGTTCATAGGATGTGTACGGTAAGTAGCATTCAGAATGCCCTTCCCTCTTTTTCCTGATCAAAAGTCACCACAGCACTCCATGCATTAAATATTCAGGGTTTTCACTCACACACCCATCTGCCTCTCTTCCTCCTTTCTTTCAACTTACATCCTCCAAAATGTGAGCTCCAGGAGGACAAGAATCTAGTCTGTCTCATTAGTCCCTGCAGTCCCAGCACCTGGACTGCCTGGTCCCTAGGAGATGCTCACTTAATATTCACTGAATTAAGCACCTTGTAAGTGCCACTCCACATGCCAAGAATATAGTGATGAGTAAGACAATGTGCAGCTTTCAGGAAGCTTGTTTGAGTGAAGGAGACAAAAAACATCCACATAATTCCAGAGAGCATCAATGCTACAAAGCACAAGGGCCAACACATTAGAGGGGGTCAGGGAAGCTGTTTTACAAGTGGGTGATCAGGGAAGGTGACATTGGAGCTGAGTGTTCCAAGCAGGGGGGACCAGTCAGTATAACGCAAAGGCTCTGCAGCAGGGACCAGCTGGAGATGATCAGGAAACAGAAAAGTGCTTATATGGCTGGAGCACAATGGATGAGAGGAAGGGATACCCAAGATGAAGCTAGAGAGGTAAACAAGGGCCCTAACCCACAGAGCCTTGTAACACACAAGGAGGAGACTGGATTTTATTCTAGGTGGGATGGGAAGCCATTGGAAGGTCTTGACACAAGTGACTCAATCTGATTTACACTTTCAAAGCATTCCCTCTGATGACTGCATGGAAAATGGACTGGGGACCAGGTGAGGATGGAAGCAGGGAAGCCCCATTCGGTTACTGTGTTGACAGATGAGAGGCAGGTGACATGGACTAGAGAGCTAGTGTAGCAGTGGAGATGGAACACAGTGGCCACTCACTGGCCATGGGGACCACCTCCCCCACCCTCGGCAGCATCTGCCCCTTGTCCAACCTTTCCCTGAGCCCTAATCAACCAGGGAGCAGATGCTTATGTTAATGTCCAACCACCCCCACAAGCCCCGGAGCCTCTCGAGGATGCCAGTCAAGCTTGGTAGAGCTCTAGCACCGCTGAGCACAGGGCTGAGCAGGACCACGCTGGGGATCAAAGGGTGAATCAATGAAACGATGAAGGATAGAACGACAGGTACCTTCTCCCTGCAGCCACAGGTCTAAAAGCACAAGGATATCAGTAACCAAAGAGAAAAGTGGGGTAAGAGGAGAAAAGTGGAGGCAGGTGGCTTTATGGAATGATCGGAGACAAACTGACACTGCAGTTACACAGAATCAGAACAAAATGCAGCACTACCTGACTGTCCTGACCTAGGTGTCCATGTGGGTTGGGACCTCTGGACATTCACCAGCCGCACTGTCCACCTCCCCCACCCCTCGGCAGCATTGGCCCCTTGTCTAACCTATCCCTGGGCAGTGATCACCCAGGGAGCAGATGCTTGTGTTAATGTCCAACTACCTCCACAAGCCCTGGAGCCTCTCAAGGATGGGAGTCAAGCTTGAGCTGACTGCAGGGCTGGGCAGGGTCACCCACACTAGCCTCCAAGGGTGAATCAATGAAGCAGTGAAGGAAAGAACGACAGGCACCCTTACCTTACAGCCTTGCGTCCAAAAGCCCAAGCTTATCAGTAACCAAGGAGAAATGGGGCAAGAGGAAGAAGCCAAGGGAGGGGTGCAGGCCAGGGCACAAATGATTCTGTGGAATGATATGAGGCAAAATGACACAGCAGTTACAAGGAATCTGGGCAAAGTGCACCAAGTATCTGGATGTCCCAATCTAGGTGTCCATGTAATTTAGGTCCTGAAGTGTGAGGCCTCATGTCAGACAGGGATATCATTGTCAGGCAGTGGAGGTGCCCCTGGCCATGTAACCTGGAAGGTAAAGCCCCTCCGATGAAGTAGGAAAATCAGGGTGAAGAAGGAAGCCTTGGGAAGGCAGCTTACCCTGAAAAGAATTCGAAGTAGGCCAGGTAGGGTTGAGGACCTGCCCGGCCTGAGGGCTCAGGCTCAGAAACATCTTCCACAGTAAGCAGGACTGGGGCCTGGGAAGAGTGAGCTCTGCTTAGTGGGGCCAAGAAGCCCCCAGACTAGTCATAGACTAGTCACCCTCCCGCCCACCGGGCAATGTAGTCCTGTAAAAGGCAGGCTGGCAGATTGGGCAGAGGTGAGACTGAGCTGAGACAGCTCACTTCTAACCCAACTGCCAATTCCCAAACCACCTCTCTCCTTACCTCTAGGCCACAGCCCTAGCTCAGGCCTCAGGCCCTCTTCTCCAGATTAAGATCACGGAGCAGCCTCCTTATCCCTCTCCAGGCTCTGTCCCTCAAATCTGTGTTCTTTGCTGCATTTGTGTGATCATTTAAGAACTCCCCATTGCCCTTGAAACAGAAGTCAAGCTCCTGAACTAACCCTCAAAGTTCACCTTGATCTGGCCCCCACCTGTATCTCTGCTGCTTCTCCTGTACCCATTCAATACCTCCATCTACCAAACTCATCATGGTCTTTTGGGTGTATGGCTCCTTATCCCTCAGATGTCCTCATCCCCATCTCAGCTTCTGGGAACCTTCTACCCTGTGAGTGCTCTCTACCAGACCGCCTTGTCTCATGCTCTCTTCTCGAGGCCTGTGGGCCCTCCCCCCACAACAGAGCTGGCTCAGGGCCAGCCCTCCAGACTCCCTGCTGCCCTGTGCCCGGCCCTTTGCTGTCTGCTGAGGACAAAGATACAGCCTGCCATCCAGGAGAACCAGGGTACTAAGGGAAGCAAACCCACCCATAGATGCTCACCACACAGGACAGACTGCCAAGAAACAGCCCACCCAGTCCAGGGCTCAGAGGAAGGAGGGAAGGCTTTCTGGAGAAAGAGGGATCTGAGCTGGGCCTCAAAGGATTTAATGACAGAGGAGCAGAAAGGGCATCCATGTAGAGGGAAGGAGCAAAGGAAGGAAGAAGAGAAGGACAATACTTAGCAAAGTAGGGCTTCGTGTAAGTGTGGGGACAGGGGATGGGTGAGGTGAGAGGGAGCTGTGTCCCTCCTGTGGGTGACGGGCACCACGAGACTGCCTAGAGTAGGGCTCCACCCCCAACACCCTAACAAAGACGGCCAGACAGTATACAGACTAGAAACATTTCTTGAGTGTTAGTAGGCTTTTGCTCATATCATACCACTGCTGGCCATGTGGTGGGCATGTCAGGGCAGAGGGAGGGAATCAGAACAGGGAGCAAGGTCCAGACTCAGGGGCTCTGTGCTGCTTGTAGAAGATCGGGGGAGGGGGACATGGAAGGCTCTGGCCCAGGCCGAACATCTCCTCACAGGGTGGCCGCTGTGCCCAGACTAGGCTGGGCACAGATCGAGTAGGTCTTGGATCCCCAGAACCCAGAGAGTGGCAGTCAGGATGGCTGCTTTTCAGGGGTCATCAGTCGCTCCACCTCCCGCATGAACCGCAGGCACAATTCTTCTTGCCAGGGCAGGGCCACACACTGCACGGCCACGGGCAGCCCCACACTCTTCTTCACGGCCTGCGTGGGACACAGGTATCAGGATGGAAGGCAGAGGAGCCAAGATCCTGCCAGGGACCAGGAAGCACCCCAGCTGGAGAGGAGGGGCAGCACGGCAGAGCTAGGCTGCTCTCCCTCAGGGTCTCGTGTCAAGAAAGGCAGGTGAGGGGGTACATGGCTGACTCAGTTAGTAGAGCATGCAACTCTTGACCTTGGGGTCATGAGTTCGAGCCCCAGAATGGATGTAGAGCTTACTTAAAAAAGAAAAATAAAAGGCAGGCAAGGACTACATGCGCTTATGCTGCTTCCTTCACAGTAGCCAGAGCTGGGGTACCGGTGGGAGTCCAGGGGAAGGGGGACCCTGGGGGCCAAGCCAGGCCCTGTGGCCTCACCTTCTGTAGCACCTTGTCCCAGAAATCCCCAAAGTAGCCCCTGTAATGTTCCATCTGGGCCTCGTCCTCGGTGGTCACCGTGGTGACAGGCACTACCCCCGCTGGGAAGTCCAGGCAGTTGTAGAGCAGAGTGTAGCTGACAGCCGCTGAAACACAACCCAAGTGGCTGGAGCAGGTCAGGTGACCTTTAATGCCAGCTGTCTTCTCTGCACCCCAGCCACCCACCCTGGGAAACAGCACCTGGCCTCCAGAGACAGAGAGAGGCTCTCTCCCAGGGCCACAGAGACTCGAGTAAGTGACAAAGATGAGGAATCCAGATTCAGGGCAGGCTGGAGAGCCTGCTGGGGCTTGCCCTGTGCCCTTGCCCATGAAGCTTCCCCACCTGGAACGTTGTCTCTATTTTCTTGGCTTATCTAATTCCCACCTGGACTTTAAACCCCACCTCTCCAAACCAGAGACTCTGTAACTCAAGATCTCCAACTTCCAAAGTGCTGAGAACAGGGAGCTCATTCCCGCTCAGGACATCCCACATGACTCCCATCTCTCCAGCCGGTCAGACTATGAGCCCCCCAAGAGCAGGGCCCTCCCCAAGGGGTGTAACCCTCCCCCAAGGCTCCTCTGCTACTTCCCAGCAGCCTGCTGGGCACTGAGCTGAACTGAGCCAGAAGAGGAAAGGCAGGTGGGAGTGTCAGGGGTGTGGTGGGGCAGCAGGCCTCACCTGTGGCCCTGCCGGGAGCATTCAAGTTCAGAGCCGGGCCCAGCATGGGGGTGAGCAGCACATCCAGGTCCAGTGCTCTCCACTGGGCAATCACGGAGTTGCGATACACCTGGGGAGGATATCAGCAGAAACCCTCGGACCCAGGCCATCAGAGGGCCTCTCCAATGCAGGGACTGTGGCCAGGGCGGCTCTGGCCCCAGCACCTGCCACTGGGTCTGGACTAAGCCACAATGGGATGGAGGTCCTTGGGGCACACAGGCATGGCCGCTTTCAGGTGTCACCACTTGCTCCACCTCCCACATGAATCGTAGACATCATTTTTCCTGCCAGGGTGGGGCCCCGTAGTGCCCAACAGCACCAGTGGGGGCAAAGAGGCAGCCAGGACAGGAGCTGACTGACCCAGCCCCCAAGGATGAGCACCCAGGCACGTGAGGATCACAGACCAGCCCAGGGAGTAGAAGGGGGAATGACAGGCTACTCCGGGGGACCGGAGCGACTTCAGTGGTCTCCAGTGGCCAAGAGATCCCACTGGTAGGTGCCCCTGTCCAACTCCACCCCACCCCCCACCCTACTCTACTCTAGGGGCTCTGGCCTCACCTCAATCTCGTATTGCAGTTCCCAGAGCTTTCCAGCCGACCTAGGCAGAGGGAATGAGGTCACTGGCCATGGGGATGAGGAACATAGACCCCTACTCTTAACACCCCCCAGATCTCACTCCTGCATGGGCCCTTTTCAACTATGGGAGATCTGAGAGGGAAGCAATACAAGGAAGGAGTTCAAATCCCTAAGTTCATGTCCTGTTGAGAAAATCAGGCCCCAAGAGGGACTTGCACTATGCCACTTAGTGACTTCACAGCAGAGCCAGGACCACATCAGGCGTGATTCCCAACTACCCTTAGAACAAAAAAGAGGCCAGAGCTGTCAAAGGTCCTAAATGCCTGGCAGTGAGAGAAGGGGCAAGTCCAGAGGAGTCAGGGCCTAAAATTGAGTTCATTTATGCCCTTCTCCCACCCAAGCCACTAAGGGGCAGGCAGGACCCAGTGCAGCTTGGCTCACATCAGACCTCCAAGAGCGGCATCTCTCACAGGTTCCCAAGTAGTCTCCTCTCCCCTGTGTCTCTACATGCTTCCTTTCCTGGTCCTTTCTACCCACGCATAGCCAGGTCTTCTCCTCTCCCCTGCCATCCCACCCTGTGATCCCCTGCAGGCTCCTCCTCTCTAGCCACACCTGGATCCTGAGAAGGCAAACTTCAAGATCCCGTCTGAAAGCCACAGAGATTGCCACCCTGGCTGGGCCACTTCCAGCCTCAGATGCTACTTCCCTCATCTCTTCCTGTCATAAACCACTTAACCCCAGGTCAAGGGGAGAGGGGGGCAGGATCTAGGCATAGAAAATGTCCTTACCGGGACTTCATGCTGCTAAGAAAGGATGCCACCCTTGGGAACTGTCAAAGGACAAACACGTTGTCAGTGACTCAGCTTTGGGCTGCGTGCAGACCAAGCCACCTGTGCCTTGTTTCCCTCTGTCCCTTCCCCCAGGTCCCAGGTCCCAGGTCAGCACCTATTTTAGCATGCAGGCTGGCTGAAGACTGCAGGGCATGGGGAGAGGAGAGGAGTCTGGGTGGGGACTGGAGAGAAGAGGAGGCCATGGTCACCCAAACCAAGAGAGGCTACAGCAAGAGGGGAAGAACCCCAGGGGGCCCCTCCCAGCCCACTCCAGCCCTCCACTCCTTGTGCCCTCACCAGAGGCTTCAGCAGGAAAGCCAGCAGTCCTTTCAAACACCTGGGCATCTTCAGAACTGAGATCAGGTCTCCCAAGCAGGGGTCCACAAAATCACCTTCGCTGGGAGACAAAGGGTCCAGTCCAGCACCTTCTCCCCAGGCCTCCCTCCAGACTTGCCCCCACCCACAGCACTCCCTACTCAGTGTCATCTCTTCAATGACACCCTCTCCACTCCCTCTTCACCAGACTCTGGTAACCACTGGTCTCCAACCCCTTCACCTGCCTCCTTTTATTTATTTTTTAAAAGATTTTTTCTTTTTTAAAATGTTTTTAATATTTATTTATTTTTGAAAGACAGAGAAACAGAGAGAGAGGGAGACACAGAATGTGAAGCAGGCTCTGAGCTGTCAAACCAGAGTCCAATGCGGGACTTGAACTCACGAACCGTGAGATCATGACCTGAGCTGAAGTCGGCCACTTAACCGACTGAGCCACCCAGGTGCCCCTCTTTTTTCTTTAAGTAATCTTTACACCCAACATAGGGCTCAGACTCAGAACCCCAAGATCAAGAGTCCCATGCTCTATAGACTGAGCCAGCCAGGTGCCCCTATTTGCCTCCTTTTAAACACGTGACTTGTTTCTGCTGATTGTTAGGATGCCTGGACTCCACGCCATACTGGAGCTCTCCAAGGTAGGACTCCGTGTCTCCCTCCCTGGCAAACTCAGCTCAAAGCAATAAGGACTCACTGAGGGCAACAGCTCCCCGGCTGGGGCTTGTCACTGAGGGCATCCCCTGTTGATGCTGATGCCAGCCTAGAGGTACACGTGGAGCTGCCATGACCCTTGTTTCTGAGGCTGTTTCTAGCTCTAGAGTTCAGGGAAAGGTCTCAGGAGGCTGATCCTAGGGATTCATTCCCAGGGCCAGAGAGAGGGGCAACCGCTTCTGCTGAAGCCTGGACCATACTTAGCTACGAGAGGAAGTCCAGTCAGCCCAGGGATATCACAGGAGGCACCTTCACAGATCTGTCCTCCACCCCTACCAACCCTTAGGGACTGAAGGCATCTAAGCCTTCTCTAAACATGAGCTCTACGAAGTCTGTTAAAGTAGGTCTGGCCCAACCCACCCACTCCCACTCTACAGAAGAGAAAACTACTGAAAAGGCAGACTTGGCTCAAGTCAGAAGAGCCTGGAGTCACAGCATGATGTCTAGATGTCCCTCTTCCTGCTTCATCCTGCCCTTGTCTCTCAATCTTTTCCAAACAGACAAGCAACTCCCCTGCCCATCTCCTACCTCCCAATGAGCCCTCATCAGTTGAGCTCTGTTCAATCCAACCTTCCCTTGGGCTGGCACCTTTCTGAAGTCTCCCTGGCAAAGGATCTCTAGGTTCAGTCTGCATAGTTAGAGGAGCAGAGAGATCCCTGCCCAGAATGCTCACACCTTCATTGTGTTCAGATAAGGCCTGCCCCCATCTTCTGCCAGATTGACCCATACTGGGAGTAACAGAACCCAGCTGCTCTCCCTGGGTCTAATGTTCTTGACCTCACCCCAGCCCCCAAACCCAACATCACTTACAAGTTCTGTAGGAAGCTGTGGCCACCATCACTGAACAGCCCACCTGTTGCGAGGATCTCCAGAGCATAGGGTATATTGCTTGGCAGGAAGGGAACCAGCTGTAAGGTTGAGGTGTATAAGGCCCCCACACCTGGAAACCCTTGGCTCCCATGACCTCCATGCTGCCCAAGAGGCCCTGAGGACAGATTTGACCAACCATGCCCGCATGATAGCCCTTGCTGGAGCCACAAAGGCAGCATTGCTGACCCATGAAAACTCCCTTAAAATGTATATCATGAGAGAAGTCAAGTCACACATGAATTAACTTGTCTCAGATGAGCAGACTAAAGCCCACTGTCCCGCCACCCTGGGATGGGGGCACAATCTGAAGTTTGATGAGAGCCTCCCAATATAGCGCTCACAGATCCCCAGCACGGGGCTGAGTTCATCATCAATCACTTAAGCACTAAAAAAGAGTCACAATCAGCCCTCTACTATGGTCCCGCAGGAAAACAGTTCCCATCCCAACCACAGAACAATCATGGTGAGAGGATGCCAGGGACAGGTGGCAGCCATGGGTACCAGAAAGGTTTCCCTGAAGGAGGGGCCATAACAGGACTTCTGGGTTCCCACAGCCATACCGTGTGGCCAGCAGCCTCAAGGCTCTTCTTCGTCTCCAGCAGGGCCCGCTTCATGGCCGGGGTGGGCATGGTATAGTTGTCGGTCTCATAATACCCCACACGCAGGGGCTGAGAGCTTGCGTAGACCTGGGGGCAAAACATAGGAGTCAGAATCAGGTCAAGAGAGGGCAACCCAAAGTAGGGCTCCGAGAGATCTGTGTCAGCCCCAGACACAGCTGAGAGGCTGCAGCCCAGATCCTCCAGAAACTGACTGCTTGAGAGGCTGGCCCTTTTTACATCTGACCCTTTCACAAAACACCTTCACAATGACTCTGCAGGAGGGGCCCAGCAAGGATGAGGGCTCCCACTGGTCATATGATGAAACTGAGGCTTGAGGTCTTGATAGGCAGACAGGCCGAGAGTTGACCCAGTGCAGTCTGATAATACTAGGTCCAGAACCCAGGCATCCTGAGCCACTGCCTGTTTCAAGAATCCAAGTCCTGACTCCCATGATAATTTGTTCCAGACCTCATAAAAGGGACCTCATCTCCTTTCCTCCCTTTCAGGAAGAGGTTCATCAACCACTGGGTTGTTAGACTATCCTCTGCCATGGAGGGGGAACTCACCCTACCAAGTCCAGATATTCTGTCTACCAAGAAACACCCAAGTTCTCCCTCAAGCTGTTGGAGATGTGTCTCCTGTTTCTCAATGGCCTCAGAAGAGGCTCGGGCCAGAAGGTGGGGCCTTTCCTCAGCAGAGGTCCCCCCAAACCAGGCCAGTTTAGAAGACTCAGGCAAGGGCTCCCTCTGGTGGCTGTCTGCAGAGCAAGAGCTGACCCTGGCTTCGGACCCTTGAAGGTGGGTTTCAGGAAACAGAACCTCCAAGCCCTACGCACACTGCCAAGGGGCTGCTCTCTGGGCACAGGAGCACCAATGATAACCAAATTCAATCCCATCCCCATCCCCACCCATGCTCACCTCCTCCTTAAAGGGCAGGGGGGGCACGGAAGGGTCCAAGCGGAACATGTCCTCACACAGTAGGGCTCGCAGGCACAGCGCTAGGCTTTCCACATCCCGAGCCATGGGGCCGGCTGACATCTGCACTGTAGAGCAGGGAGGGGAAGGAAGAAGATCACCCTACCCTAATGGGCTCTGGGGCTGGGTCCAAGCAAGGGTTGGGACACAGCCCAGGAATGTGAGCAGAGACAAGGAACTCCAACCTAGACTAGCCTGGGAGCCAAACACTGCTCCCAGGAGAGGCAGGGTAGAAATGGATCAGGCAGACCCCCCCACACCAGGGCACTGAGGGAACCCCATACCTCACCTGCTACCTGTCCATAGACACAGCCCTTCAGGCCACTCTTGCTGGATAAGAAACACAAGATGTTGGAAACAAGAAATGGTCACCCTCTGACCAACCCCAAGCTCATACAGCAGCTTAGAAGTCTCACCACTTTGGAAAGTAGGAACCAACACCAATGGTGCTGTGACAGTCCCTCCCAGCAAAACCCCAGAGTGAAGGAATCCCTTCCTGGAAGCCCAGAGAGGTTGAGAGGTAGGCCAAGATCATACAGCAAGAGACCCGGGAGCTCCCTCCACCCACCACCCACACCATACCTGATGCGGTTTCCCGTGGGCTTGAGGCCACAGATGCCACAGAAGGAGGAGGGAAAGCGGATACTGCCTCCGATGTCTGTACCTAAGCCCAGGGGGGAGCCTCCACCCCCAATGAGGGCCCCTTCACCCCCAGAGGAGCCACCTGGGCTCTTGGAGGACTTCAGTGGGTTCAAGGTCTGGCCAAAGAGGGGATTACTGCAATCATAGCTGGGAAAAGCAAGAAAGGGTCAGCCTAGGTCACACTGGTGCCAGGGCCCCTGCCCCCACCTGGCACCCAATCCAACCTGAACATGGACTGAGGGATGTTGGTGTGCACGAAGGGCACAGCGCCCTGCAACTTCAGCACCTGCACCACCACACTGTCACACTCTGCGGGCATGCTCTCGTTCAGGCTCAAGCCCAGTGTTGAGTCCTGGCCCTAGAGGAAGGGATAGGTGCCAAGAGGAGTACAGCTGATGGGACAGGGGCCCTTCAGCAGAGGGGCCACTCTTACCACCATCTCACAGGCCAAGACAGAACACACCCAAGGTCCCTCTCAAGGCCTCTGGACCTGATACTTCCTCTGAGGGCCCAGGGTAACCCAGAGTGCAGAGCTGGCAGGCAGGGGCAGGGATGGGGGGTGAAGCCTGATGTGAGGCAAGGCATACTTTGTAGCTGAAGCACTCCTTGAGGCTCACAGGGACTCCATAGAGCAGGCCCTGCTTTGGGGCCTGGGATAGCTGAGTCTCACAGTCTGCCAAGTAGGTGGTCACACAGTTGGTCCCTTTGTTTACTTCCCAGGCCTGGAGGAGGGAGAAATGGACACAAGGCAGAGTGAGATTGGCCTTTTTTTTTTAATTGTAGCAGAATATATATACCATAAAATTGGCCTTTTAAAGTATACCCAGGGAAAGGATAACCAGCAACATGGCCCAGAGCCAGGAGGGCAAAGAATAACCTAGGGCCCACTACCCATCTCCCTGGGGACATCTAGCCCCAGCCTGACCCTAGCAGTCTCTGGCCTCAACCCAAAGAGAGAAAGAGTAACTCCAGGGCCAGGGCACAACCAAGGCACGCAAAGGAGCAGGACACTGGCCTTAGATGCTCCCCAGAGGGGATGAGCTGGGAGGAAGATGACCTTTGGCCACTCTACCTCTTCCTCTATCCACATCTCTGCCTATGAAGCAGAAAGGAGGAACCAGATAGGGGCAGATCCCCATCTCAGCCCATACCAGGACTCAGCGCAGAGCGGGACTACAGCCAGGTTCCAGCCTCCCAGAGGCCAGCATGCTCTCTCTTGTCCCAGGCCTGGCCCACACCTGCCCCCAGCTAACCCTCCCCTCCCCCAGAAACTCTTGAATCTGATAATGAAGTCACAGAGAGGAGTGACTGACTGATACCAATCACTTAAAGGGATGGGAGCTTGCCTAAAAGGAATGATGCACTAACAGTGGCCATCTGTCATGCGGTCTTTCCACAGCCCTCAGACCACATTCCACAAGGCCCTATGGGAGGGACAGGCCAGGGCAAAACGATATACAGTTTTCAGTAAATACTCCCTGTGAAACAGCTGAGGGAAATGGGTGTGGGTCCCACTGCCACATCTTGGCCCATGAAATTGGTCTCCAGGCTACTTAAGGCAGGCAAGGACGAGGCCAATCTGTGACAAGAATGTCTTCTTGTGGGTGATTAGGAAGGGCAGCCACTTCTCAGGGACATTGACAGAGGAAACCCAGCACAGTATGTCAAGGCTGCCTGGTCGGCATACACTCCTCTCTCCCCATACAGTCAATCCCCCTCACCCACTCTCTGCTGCAGTCACTCACACCACTGTCACACACACCCATCAGTCACCTGGCACGCATGTCCACCTGCCTAGAGGTCATACCCACTGTCACACACTCTGTTTCAAGAAATCACACATAAGTCAACTCATAAATCACAACTCTTTTTCTGTCATTTCATTTCAAACATATTTCTTGAACCCTTACTGAATGAAAGCCAGTAAGTATTCAGCACCAAGTACAAAGACAAATGAGACAAGCTCTGTCCACAGGAGCCCACATCGACAGGGGAAACAGAAGGACAAGACAAGCCCTAAGATGCCATGAGAGATGTGTTAGAAAGTCAGAAAGAGGGGCGTCTGGGTGGCTCAGTCAGTTAAGTGTCCAACTCTTGATTTCAGCTCAGGTCATGATCTCACAGTCGTGGGATCAAGCCCTACATCAGGCTCTGCACTGAGCATGGAGCCTGCTTGTGATTCTCTTTCTTTCTCTCTCTGCCCCTCTCCCCCACTACAACTACTACTTCTCCTCCTCCTCCTCCTTCTTCTTCTCTCTCTCTCTCTCTCAAAATAAACAAACATTTTTAAAAAAGAAAAGAAAGAAAGAAAGAAAGAGCACTGAAGAGGGAACCCTGACTCAGGCTGGGAAGGAAGGGTCAGGGGAGCCTCCCTGGAAGATGGCCTCTTTCTCTGAGCCCTGAAGCCTCAGCCAGCAGTGTCTGTTGTCCCAGGAGGGGCAAAGAAGAGGGAGAAGAGCCTTCCAGGTAAAGGGAATCCCACACAAGCCAGTGCACAGCGTGGCGGGTCCAGGTGCCAGGAAACTGTGGGCGGCTGAGCTATGGATGCCCACACTCCGGAAGGCCTTGGCCAGACAGGATGCCGGAGACTGAAGAGGAACAGAAGAGCAGAGTCTAAAGAAATGGAGACCTAAGAGGGAATCTGGCCAGGAGGCTGGGGCCCTACCACTGGAGGGAGACGGTGGTGGAGGACCAGGGTGGCTGCAGGGGTGGTAGGGACAAGGGATGGACCAGAGAGAGCTATAGAAAGAGAACAGACCACACTTGGTGACAGATGGGGTGGAGGCGGGAGGCAGAGGGAAGTCTGGGCTGAAAGCCAGGCTTTTAGCTCAGACAAGATGTTCAGTGTTGCCCTCTCACCAACACACACACCAAGTCAGCCTGCCTCTCTCTCTCTCTCTCTCTCTCTCTCTCTCTCTCTCTCAATCTCCTCTCTCTCCCTCCCTCTCGCCCTTTTTCTCTCTCTCATTCTCTCTCTCTTACGCAGCTCCTGGCAGCCCCTGGCACTGTGGTCCCACCCTGGCCCTCAGAGAGACTAACTCCAGGCCAGGTTTTCCCCCCAGCCTTTGCTGAGAGAGGGAGGAGGCCGGCAATCCTTACCTTTCCCACATAGGTGAAGAGTGCAGCCTCTGGGGTCAGTTCCCCGTTGTGTAACTTCTGCACGAGCTGAGTCAGGGGCAGGGCCAGCAGTGCCTCGGAGTCCAGGTCAGGGTTCTAAGGAGACACTTCAGTTAAGTACCTCTTTACCTCACAGGCCCCAAGTGCCCACAGCAGACACTTGTGGCCCATGCCCCTAAGTCCCCACACCTGCCAAAGCAGATGCTAACTGTCACATGTCAATCCATGACAGACCTTCCCACCTGTGGCTCTGACACCAGAAATGTGGTCCAGCCTGGGCAGGCCCTTGTCACCTATAGACAGTACAGATATACCTCTTCTAGAAGGTTATCAAAGGGGGTGCCCTAGGAGAGGCCATGCCCAAGCTGATTATTAAACCATCACAAGCTACCACCACTGGCAACTGCCAGCTGCACCATGCTGCTGCACTCTATGCTTTGACTAAATCTTGCTACCATCGCCATTGCACAGATAAAGAAACTGAGGTACCAGGGCACCTGAGTGGCTCAGTTGGCATAAGTATCCTACTCTTGGTTTCAGCTCAGGTCATGATCTCCCAGTTTTGTGAGTTCAAGCCTCATGTCAGGCTCCATACTGGCAGTGTGGAGCCTGCTTGGGATTCTCTGTCTCCCTCCCTCTCTGCCCCTCCCCTACTCATGCTGTCTCTGTCTCTCTCAAAATAAATAATAAATAAACTTAAAAAAGGAAAGAAGGAAGAAAAGAAGGAAGGGAGGGAGGGAAGGAGGAAGGCAAGGAAGAAGAGAGGAAGATAGAAAGGCAAGGGGAGAGAGAGAGAGAGAGAGAAAGAAAGAAAGAAGGAAAGAAAGAAAGAAAGAAAGAAAGAAAGAAAGAAAGAAAGAAAGAAAGAAAGAAAGAAAGAAGGAAAGAAAGAAAGAGAAACTAAGGCACCAAGTGGCTAAGTGCATCATCTGGGACCATACAGGTAAACTATAGTTCTCTGCCCACTCGGCATAGGCTGTCCACTGGCTGTCAGTCTGCACCTAACCACTCAATCCCTGGCAAGGGAGATGAGAAAAGAAGACACTCTCCTGGGTGGTTGGGGCTGCAACTAGAGGCCACACCTAAAAGAGAGGAGTTTTTCATTCATTCCAGATATATATTACTAAGCACCATACCAGCCCTGGGGATCCAACAGTGAACAAAAAAGGTATGTCCATGCTTTGGGAAGCACAGGTAATTAATAAGTAAACAAACATTTGAGATAGTAAGAAATAGCTTGAAGAAAATAAAACCTGGTGTGGTGAGTGGGGGGTACACAGGTAGGAAGAGGGTGGTCAGAGAAAAGCTCTCTGATGGAGGAAGGACATTTGATCGGACACCTGACTGCCAGATCCTGAAGGCTCCCAGAGTCTCTGGGGTCAGCCTCTGCCTGAAAACCCAGCTTGCTCTCTCCTCAAAGGTATTGAGCCAATTAGTAAACAGTTAGAGGAGGACCTCTGAATCACAGCCACCGCTTCCTACCCCCACTCTCCTCTGCATTTGCCAAGGTCACCAGGGGCCTCCTGCTGCCAAATCCAAGAGATAATCTACTCTGATATTTGCTCCATGTCTCACATGGTATTCAAAGGTACTGAGACCACATACTAGTTCTCTTCACTTGCCTCCTGGGCATGAAGATACTACCTTTCCTGGCTTTTCTCCCGTTTCTTTTCTACTTCTGTGATCCATTTATTCAGACAGTCGACAAACGTGTTCTGAGTACCTACTATGTGCCAAGGACTATGTTAAAGGCTATGAATTTAGAGGTAACCAAGACAAACAAGTCCTTGCTTTCACAGAGCCTACATTCAAGAAAATAAACAAGTTAACAAATAATGGACAGATCACAGAAAGTATGAGAACACAAGAACACACTGGTGTAATGGAAGTAAGAGAGAACTGACTCAGAGGGATGGTCAGGTCTCTCTAAGGAAGTGACATTTCTTTCAGCTGTGAAAGGATGAGAAGGAGCCAGATGTGGGAAAAGACAGGTTCTTCTGGGCACCTCTTCTTCCCTCCCTGATGGTGGGAAAAGTGAATCCTTCTCGTGGCTTCCACTCCATGCTCTACCTAACCCACGGCCTCCTGACCCTCCCCACCCAGCCTGACTCAATTGAGCTCTGGCGCTCAGGGACTATTCCCATTGCTGCTCACCTTATGTCCTTCTCCCTGAGCTCGCTGCTCCCCCACTTTTCACTGCCTCCTGTTCCAGGTACCTTGCTCAGGGAAGGGCTGCGTCCATCCAGATGTTAGACTTGGAAAGCAGGCAGGACTCCTCCCTCCCTCTCACCCCTCACCCCCCCATCCAAATCCAATTAATCCTCCTGCCCATCCTTTCTCTCCTGGATCACACAAAGCCACCTTACTGGTTGCCATGCCCAAGCCATCCACCCACCCTTCCAGCCAGGCCAGCCAGTGCAAAGCAGGGCTTGCTGCTCCCCTTAAAGTCTCTGTCAGAACCACAAGCTCCAGAGGTATTCCAGGAAATGCTTCGAGGCTGTGTTCCTGCCAGACTCCTCTGCACCCTTCCATGAGACACCACCTACTCACACCCTCCACACACACCCTCCACACACACCCACCACAGAGCCTTTGTACCCTGGACTTCACAGCAGGAACGCTCTACTCCCACCTCTTAATTTGTTAAACAGATATCATACTCACTTGGGATATACAACACACACACACACACACATATACACAAAGGAAGCCACAAAGAAGAAAAACAATGGCACAAACAAAGGCCACCTGACCCTGCCTTGGGGAACTGGGAAGGCTTTATCGAAAAGTGATGCTCAGGTGAAAGGTAGAATATAGGTGGCCTGGCAAAGAGGGGTAAGTAGGGACAAAGAGTGTTCTAGTCAGTAGGAACAGCATGTTTGAACTGCTATAATCTCTTCCCACATGTGCTTGATAATTCCTGGTGATATATATTTTTAAATCATATACAGAATGAAAGCTCTCTCTCCCAGCCATCCAAGATGCTGAAAGGAAAGAAGGCCAAGGGGAAGAAGGTGGCCCTGGCCACCTTCTTCTGAAGAAGCAGGAGGCCAAGAAGGTGGTCAATCCCACTTGAGAAAAGGCCCAAGAATTTTGTCATCGGACAGGACATCCAGCCCTAGAGGGACCTTGCCTGCTTTGTCAAATGGCCCCGCTACGTCCGGATGCAGCAGCAAAGGGCTATTCTCTATAAACATCTGAAGTTGTCCCCTGAAATTAACCAGCTCACCCAGGCCTTGGACTGCCAAACAGCTACTCAGCTGCTTAAGCTGGCCCACAGGTATAGATCAGAGACAAAGCAAAAAAAGAAGCAGAGACTGTTGGGGGCGCCTGGGTGGCTTAGTCGGTTAAGCGTCCGACTTTCGCTTAGGTCATGATCTCGTGGTTCGTGGGTTCGAGCCCCGCGTCAGGCTCTGTGCTGCCAGCTCAGAGCCTGGAGCCTGTTTCAGTCTGTGACTCCCTCTCTCTCTGACCCTCCCCTGCTCACGCTGTCTCTCTCTCTCCTAGAAATAAATAAAAACATTAAAAAAAAAATTTAAAAAAAAAAGAAGCAGAGACTGTTGGTCTGGGCTGAGAAGAAAGGTGTCAGCCAAGGAGATGTTCCCACTAAGAGGCTGTCTGTCCTTCAAGCTGGGGTTAATGTGTCACCATCTTGGTGGACAACAAGAAGACTCAGTCGGCAGTGACTGACACGTGATGCGTATCGCATTGAGTGGGCTGTCTTCCTGCCGGCCTGTGTCAGAAGATGGGGGCTCCCTACTGCATCATCAAGGGGAAAACCAGGCTCAGGAATCTGGTCCACAGGAAGACCAGACCTGTGTTGCCTTCACAGTTAACTCGGAAGACAAAGGGGCTCTGGCTAAGCTGGTGGAAGCCATCGGGACCAATTACGACAGATATGATGAGATCTGCCAGAGGTAATGCCCAGGGTCCAGAGTTGGTGGCTTGTATTGCCAAACTAGAAAAGGCAAAGGCTAAAGCACTGGCCATCAAACTGGGCTAAGTGGACGCTGTTGAGTTTTCTGTACATAAAAGTCATAAAAAGTTCTCTTTCAGTCAGAAAAAAAAAATATATATATATATATATATATATACAAAATTAAAATGAGGGGTGCCTGGGTGGCTCAGTTGGTGAAGTGTCTGACTTCAGCCCAGGTCATGACGTCGTGGTTTGTGAATTTGAGCCCCACATCAAGCTCTGTGCTGACAGCTCAGAGCCTGGAGCCTGCTTCAGATTCTGTGTCTCCCCCTCTCTCTGTCCCTCCAATGCTCTTGCTCTGTCTCTCTCTGTCTCTCAATAATAAATAAACACTTAAAAATTTTTTTTAATGAAAATGAACATTCACCCCATCCCTGGGACCACCCTGCCCAGTCCCTCTTCTGAAAAGGAAACCAAAGTTAATGGTTTCTAATGAAACCTTACAGGGGAAAAAATGTTTATCAAAAACTCACCATGTATGTAATTGTTTTTATATGTTCTGTTTTTGCACAAAAGAACCATACTATATACGCAGTACTTACTACACCTTGCCTTTTTCGCTTCGTGATAAAAATAGCATGAAAATAGCAAGATTCCTTTTTTTTTCTGATTACATAAGTGTGCTCATTATAGGAAAAAAAATGCCTAAGAGTATGCGGAAGAAAGTAAAAACCAGCTGAGAGCCTACCACACGAGGAGACTTACCACCAACAGTGTGGTCACCACCATTTCCCATCTTGCTGCAAGGTGCCACAAAGTCCCTGTGAGCCTCAGCTCGAAGCTGTCAGCAGGCTCTCTCCGTTTAAAAAAAACGTAGCACAAAGTTTAATTCTGTCCTATGTTCTTCCATGTTGATGACTGATGACAGCATTGCTAACAGCTATTTTTAAGTCTTCGACTAGTTATCAGGCAGCTGAGACATTTTCTCTTTCATAAGACACCAAAGAAAGTCTGCACCTTCAGGAGGCCTGTCTACAAACCCAGGGGAAATTAAATTTGTATGGAGAATGAAGGGAAGTGTACAAATAGGTTCTAACTAAGCATGGGGCCACCTAGTAGCATATTCTTTCTCAAGGGAGGGATCCTATAGTTATCATTGAATCACTGCCCCTCCTCCAGCTGTTTTTCTCCTTGAGTCCCTTACTACCCTAATTCCAGCTAGCCTACACTATCCCCCATGACTTTTTTCTTTTCCCTTATGGTTTTTATCACTTTTGTTCGATTTCAAGATATCTTTTCCATTGGGTCATGTGGGCCACTGATAGTGGTCTCAACGAAAACTACATTATGCACCCTCAACTCATCTACTGAATCATTTTGCTTTAAAGTCAGGTTCAGGCTGGGCTCGGAGAAGGCCAGGAGATGAAACTACACATCAGATCCAGCTGAAGGAAGTGGCATTTGTGAAGACCAGTGGAATTCTGGCAAAAGGGGTTGAAAGAGATTGGTTTTGGGGTCAAACTACAAGTACAAAGGCACAGAGGCATGAGCAGGCATTCTGGCTTATCTTTTCCAGCCGTAATAAACTACCTATTGATGGTAGTCCTTCTCTTCAGTCTAAACTCATTCAGGGGGCAGGGCAGAAAAAAAGTGAGCAAAGAGTTGCTACAGGTTAAGCCTCATGTGGTCAACAGAGAGTCACCAGAAACAGGCCTTATTCTCCAGTTGCTCTGCAGTCGAGAGAGGTGAACCATTTTGTGATGATTCTAGAGGTGATTAGGATTGCCCCTCCTCCAGCGGTGCCTGGGAACACGGGAGGTATCCGGGCTCCCAGCTAGCTTTGTCAGGAGTCTGTCAGTCTGGAGCTGTACTACCAGCTGCTGTATTCCCCTAGGACCTGCCCAGGGCCCTGCTTACCTCACTGCCCCTTGCTATTTGGGGCTGGCCTGAAAAAGTCCCAGAAGAAAGGCTGCTGAGACAGCCTCAAAGCCCATATTCCCATCATCCATCCAGAGCCAAGGAGAAAGGCACCTTAGGGGCAGGAAGAAGGAAGGAGCTGCTCCCAAGGTTCCAAGGGATTGAGTTCAGCAAAACCACCTACCTCTTAACTGCCCCCAAGGCCTTTCAGAGTTACTGTCATCAAGACCCCATCCCCCTGCTGACTGCTCAAACCAGTGAGACTCCTGAGATATTTCTCCCTTTCTCTTCCACAGTCACGGCAAAGTCAAAGTGTACATTTCGCTGTTTACCCACTTGGAAGAGCCAAGCTTCGGTCTTCTGACACCAGACTCTCTTGCCCCAGGGGGGTTATATAAACAGGTTTTTGTATTTCAAGGCCATAACCTCTGTCCTGGAAAATTTGGTTATTCTTTTTTGTTTTTAATTTTTAATGTTTTATTTATTTCTGATAGAGAAAGAGACAGTGTGAACAGGGGAGGGACAGAGAGAGAGGGAGACACAGAATCTGAAGCAGGCTCCAGGCTCTGAGCTAGCTGTCAGCACAGAGCCCGACACGGGCTCAAACCCACGAACCATGAGATCATAACCTGAACCGAAGTCGGACGCTTAACCAACTGAGCCACTCAGGCGCCCTAGTTATTCTTTTTTTTTAATGTTTATTTATTTGAGAGACAGAGCACAAGCAAGGGAGGAGCAGAGAGAAAAGGAGAGAATCCCAAGCAGGCTCTGCACTATCAGCACAGAGCCGGATGCGGAGCTCAATCCCACAAACCAGGAGATCATGACCTGATCCCAAATCAAGGGTCTGACCCTTAACTGACTGAGCCACCCATGTGTCCCTGGAAGATATGGTTCTTAAAAATAATGGGGGTGCCTGGGTGGCTTAGTCGGTTAAGCGGCTGACTTTAGCTCAGGTCATGATCTCACGGTTCATGGGATCAAGCCCCACATCGGGTTCTGTGCTGGCAGCTCAGAGCCTGGAGCCTGTTTTAGATTCTGTGTCTCCCTCTCTCTCTGCCCCTGCCCCGTTCATGCTCTTTCTCTCTCTGTCTCAAAAATAAATAAACTTAAAAAAAAAAAAGATAATGAAAGGCGGTTGCTCCAGAGGGAAACTGTCTAGATGCTGGTGTCTGGAGCTAAAGTGAAGAAGACCCAACCTTCTACCACATGACATCCCTGCCAGCAGGTGGGTGTCTTGTGACTGGGAGAGGAGTTCAGTGGGTAGGAACCGTGGGCAGATCGCTGATGCTGCCCCTGCACAGTTTTTGCTGGCTGGCGGCAGTTCGGGCTGTTGCTAAAGAACTGGGGCCTCGGGAGCAGCTGAGTGTCTCCAGGGTGAGCCAGGGATCACTGCAAGGATCCCTGAGTGGGGTACCTGGGAACTCAGCCAGAGAAGGGGGACTTAGGAAGTGAAGAACTTGTGCTCAGGTAGGGTCAGTGGCCAATGTGGATTCAACATCTAAAAACTGACTGATGGTGGGCTTTTTGGCAAGCTTGATGAACAGAGGCTAGAACCAGATACATACTTATTTCAATAAATAAATAAATATGATATATTCTGGCCCAGAAATGGTGTGGAATAAATCCATAGCAGCTAAAAGATACCGTGATCAAGGCTGCACCCTGGGCCTGGCATCCTAAGGTCTGGTCTCCCTACCTAATATCCCTTCCCTGCTCTCCTCCACTGGAATGAGGCTGGAAAGTACCACTGGGCATGCATGCAGGTCCTCGTTCCAGCTCTGCCCCAAACTCTAAAATCACAGCATCTGCTAAGAGCAACCTTCTGTTCCCTGGCTCCCACCTAGGCACATCCTCCTGACTCCTGCTGCGTCCCCGGTCACCTGGAATGCTTTTCCACCTGTCAGATCTGATTCCTATCAAACATAAACCTCACAAACAATCGTGGCAAGTTTTTCCTCTCACAGTACAAAAGAACATCTCTCAGAATTTATCATTTTGACTTCTAACTGGGTCCAGTGTCTCAAACACCTTGAGGGAAAGCCTCCTCTTCCAGGCCCCTACCAGGCACCTAGGCACACACTGAGCTGAACCAGAATGAGAAAAGCTTGTTGACAGATCGGCTGGGGAAGGGCTGGAATTACACCTGCTTAGGGAAAGGGGCCGGTAAGGGGTTAGAGCAGGAGCTGGGGAGACTTCTATTCCAGGCCAGCCCCCTTTTGCACTTGGGCAAGTCCTTTTCTGGCTCCCTCCCAGTATCATCACGCACAAATAAATGTCTTTGAACTATGAGCTCTCCGGATTCCCTTGGCCATGGCTCTGTGACTCGAACCCAGGCGTCATACTGGTTCTCACACTTGCACTTTGGTTAGCCTTCTACAAGTCTTGAGCCTCTTTGGCATGGAGCAGAGCTCCTCTCTCTTTGACCCAGTGCGGCGATGGCCTTTCCTGCCCTGCCCTGTCCTTTTCGTTTTCCAGCCTCCCCTCGGCTCTACCTCAGAAAGAGTATGGAATGCATTAGGGCCAAGAGAGGTTCCGAACGAACGTAAAACCTGCGCGGCCGGCCACCTGCCCCTCCGCGCACCAGTGCGGCCGAAAATGCTGCTAGGGATACCCCACGTTGGGCCTCTTCCCCACCCCCACCACACACACACACACACACACACACACACACACACACACACACGACCCGAGCGGTCACCTGGAGGCGGAAGCGCTGCGCCGCCTTATCCATGGTGTCCAGGGCTGCCTGCTGTTTCTGTCGCGCCCGGGCCACGGCTCCCCGTGCCGGCCGACGACTTGACCAGCGCAGGGCCACGGCCGCTGCCACCAAGCAACAGACCAGGGAAGCCACGGAGGCGCCAGGGAGCGCGGTCCACAGTTCGTCCAGCACCATGATGCCCCCACTGCCGCCAACCGTGCACTGAACTGCGGACGAGGGATCAGCACGCGCGCGTGCCGCCGCAAAACCCGGCCTGGATCGGCCTAGGATCCCGCGTCCCCCCTCTGCGCGGAAGGGGTTGGAGGAGGGCGCGCGGCCGCTGGCCTACCCGGCAGCGCGCCGTTGCCTGGCAGCGGGCGGGAGGCGGGTGATGCGCAACTGTCAAGGTCAAGCCCCGCGGCAGGTTTAGGGTCACTTCCCGCGTCCTCCCTCAGCGGGCCGGGAGGGGCGGGAGGGGCAACGGCCTTCCGTGCGCGCCCTCGGTAAGCCTACGCCCGGCGCACCTCACGGCCCCAGCTTCCCGGAAGACGCGGTCAGCCGGAGCCCTCTGAGGGAAAAGCCGGCCAGGAGGGCAGGGAGCAGCGACCGATTGGACTCGAGGGCCTGACTGATCCTGCAAACAGTTTAGTTGCATCGTTCCTGGCGACCCTCCCAGGATGCTCACCTCTCCCACGCTCAGAAATTCCGCGGACACAGGAAGTTCCCCTGGGGAGCCCACCCGCTGCCCTCTTCCTTTTCCCAACCCTTAGACCCATGTCTCTCACTCAGGGCTCTTCATGGCCAGATCCCTTGTCCTTTTGCTCAGCCACCTCCCCTTCTCCAGTCAGGGGCCCTCCTGGAGTTTATTTCCAGAGAGCAGAAAAAAAACCCTGACCAGGAGTCTGGGGACCTGGCACTCTTCCTAAGGGGGATGGGGGAGATTAGATACACAAACAAAATACTCCCATCCAGGCCTTTATCATAGGACTTTTTGTTTATGTGTTTTATGTCATTTATGCTCCCAACAGACCTATGAGGAAGGTACTTTTTTTTTTAATTTTTTTTTTTATGTTTTTTTGTTTATTTCTAGGAGAGAGAGAGAGACAGCGTGAACAGGGGAGGGAGGAAGGCACTTTTATTATCCTTATTTTATTGGTCAGGTAACTGAGGACAAGAGGTGTTAAACGACTTCTGTGGTCACACACATGGCTGAGTTGGGGACTCAGACTCAGCTCTCATCTCAAACCATTGCTCTTAACCATCAAGCAGTACTACCATAACTGCCCCTGGAAGTGAAACTCAGTGGGATGTGGTGTGGGAAAGTGCTTTGTGGCTGGGAACGCCCACTGCTGAAACACTCTGCTGCTCCTCCAGCTCTGTTTACTTCTCTGAATCTGTGCCTTAACCTGTAAAAGAGGGATGGTTATAATGCCTGCCTCACAGGATTGTTAGTGGTGTGTGAGGTCCTTTAGGATTGGTGCCTGGCACATAGTAGGCCCTGCACAAATGTTTATTGTCTGAATGAAGAGCCTAGATGTGTTAACCTTAAAAAACAAAACTCGGGGCGCCTGGGTGGCTTAGTCGGTTAAGCGTCCGACTTTGGCTTAGGTCATGATCTCGCGGTTAGTGGGTTCGAGCCCCGCGTTGGGCTCTGTGCTGACTGCCAGCTCAGAGCCTGGAGCCTGTTTCAGTCTGTGACTCCCTCTCTCTCTGACCCTCCCCTGCTCATGCTGTCTCTCTCTCTCCTAGAAATAAATAAAACTTTAAAAAAAAAAAAAAAAACTCACTGGGGCCCCTGGGTGGCTCAGTCCGTTAAGTGTCAGACTTCGGCTCAGGTCATGATCTCACAGTTTGTGGGTTTAAGCCCCATATCGGGGTCTGTGCTGACAGCTCAGAGCCTAGAGCCTCCTTCAGATTCTGTGTCTCCACCTCCCTCTGACCCTCCCATGCTCATGCTCTGTCTCTCTGTGTCCCTCAATAAAAAATAAACCCGTTAAAAACTTTTTTAAATAAATACAATAACACTATCACTTATTTTAAAAGCAAAAATGGTTTTTTCTGGAATAGCAGAGAGTTGCAACTCCTGACAACTAAGCCAGGCCAAAACCACAGGCAAGTCCAGGAAACAAAGCAGAGAAAGTTCTTTTACAGAGGAAAGGAGAAAGTTGGGCGGGGCTGTTAGAAATAAAAAGTCCATTGAAGTAAACTGAGAGTTTGAAGTATAGTGGCTTTTCATTGGCTGCGTTGTGACATTGTCTCATTAGCTGGGCAGTTTCTGGGGAGGAAAAAAAAATCCTTTTTTCCTCCAGATGGGTAGTAAAATTGTAAGATTTTGTAAGGTATGTCCCTTCCTGCTGGGTCTGCAATTGAGTGACAGTGCATGAGAACTCTTCCTTCTGACTCCATTTTTTTTTTTTTTTTTTAGTTTATTCATTCTTTTGAGAGACAGCACAAGACAGCATGAGTAGGGGAGAGGCAGAGAGAAAATCCCAAGCAGTACCCCTCCACACCCCACCATCAGTCTGGAGCCCAACTTTGGGCTCAAACTCACGAACCATGATCATGACCTGAGCTGAGACCAAGAGTCAGACGCTTAACCAACTGAGCCACCCAGACGCCCCTTTGACCCCACTTTAAATGAGGTTTTGTGGGGGCACCTGGGTGGCTCAGTCGGTTGAGCGTCTGACTTCAGCTCAGGTCATGATCTCACGGTTCATGGGTTCGAGCCCCACATCAGGCTCTGTGCTGACAGCTAGCTCAGAGCCTAGAGCCTGTTTCGGAATCTGTGTCTCCCTCTCTCTCTGACCCTCCCCTGCTCACTCTGTCTCTCTCTCTCTCTCTCAAAGAAATAAAACATTAAATTTTTTTTTAAAAATGAGGTTTCGTGGGCCACCTGGCTGGCTCAGTTGCTAGAGCATGTGACTCTTGATCATAGGGGTTGTGAGTTGGAGCCCCCCACTGGGTTTACTTAGAAGTAAGAGTTTACTTTTTTAAGAGTTTGCTTAAAAAATAAAATAATAAATGAAGTTTCCTTATATTAGTTTTCACAACTGATATTGGAAGAATCCAGACCTGAGGGTCTTGTAAGTCACTGTCAGACTCTTGAGGATATTTTGGAGGCGTCCAAAGCCTTGTGTTTCTAAATCTTCAATCCCAGTTGAGTGCTGCTGAGTTCTTACTTAGTACTCATGGCCCTTTTATAAGTTTCTCTGGACCTCAGTTTCCCTAGAAGAGCTGACAATGCAGGATGATGGAAACCCCGATCTGAAGTAGGTCTTTTATTTTATTTATTTATTTATTTATTTTTTACAAATAGTTTATTGCCAAGTTGGTTTCCAAATAACACCCAGTGCTCATCCTCACAAGTGCCCTCCTCCAGGCCCATCTCCTCCCTCTCCCCCCACACCCATTCGTCCTCAGTTTGTTCTCATCATTCATGAGTCTCTCATGGTTTGCCTCCCTCCCTCTCCCCCACCATTTCCCCCCTTATTCTCCCCCTTGTTCCTCAGTTAAGTTCCTCCTAATCCTCCTATATGTGCAAACATATGATATTTGTCCTTCTCTGCCTGACTTATTTCGCTCAGCATAACACCCTCAAGGTCCATCCATGTTGCTACACATGGCCAGATTTCATTGTTTCTCATTACCATATAGTATTCCATGGTATAGATAAACCACATCTTCTTGATCCATTCGTCCGTTGATGGACACTCAGGCTCTTTCCATGTTTTGGCTATTGTTGAGAGTGCTGCTATGAACATTGGGGTACATGTGGTCCTATGCATTAGCATTTCTATATCCCTTGGGTAAATTCCTAGCAGTGCTACTGCTGGGTCATAGGGGAGTTCTATTGTAAATTTTTTGAGGAATCTCCACACTGTTTTCCAGAGGGGCTGCACCAGTTTACATTCCTACCAACAGTGTAGGAGGGTGCCCATTTCCCCACATCCTCGCCAGCATCTAGAGTTCTCTGATTTGCTCATTTTAACCACGCTGACTGGTGTGAGGTGGTATCTCAGTGTGGTTTTGATTTGTATTTCCCTGATGAGGAGGGATGCTGAGCATCGTTTCATGTGTCTGTTGGCCATCTGGATGTCCTCTTTGGAGAAGTGTCTGTTCATGTCTTCTGCCCATTTCTTTACTGGGTTGTTTTTCGGGTGTGGAGTTTGGTGAGTTCCTTATAGATTTTGGATACTAGCCCTTTATCTGATATGTCATTTGCAACTATCTTTTCCCATTCCATCAGTTGCCTGTTAGTTTTGTGGATTGTTTCCTTTGCCATGCAATGAAGTAGGTCTTGCAAGGTTATCTCACCCCATCTTCTGATGGAATAAAGAAATTCTATTCCTTGACTCAACCCTTTGCTTTCTGGGTGACCTGGGGTAACTAAACTTTCCTTTTTGTGAAATGAGAAGCATTCTTTCTGACACACACTTCCTCTCACGAAGGAGAAATTAAGATTATAGTTATGGCAAGGGGGCGCCTGGGTGGCTCAGTTGATTGTCGGACTTCAGCTCAGGTTATGATCTCATGGTTCATGGGTTGGAGCCCCACACCTGGCTGTCTGCTGTCAGTGCACAGCCCACTTTGGATCCTCTGTCCTCCTCTCTTTCTGCCCCTCCCCCACTCTTTCTCTCTCTCTTAGTCTCTCTCAAAAGTAACTGATATTAAAAAAAATTTTTTAAGTGTGCCTGGGTGGCTCAGTCTGTTAAGCATCTGACTTCAGCTCAGGTCATGATCTCAGTTCATGGTTCAAGCCCCACATCGGGCTCTGTGCTGACAGCCAGCTCAGAGCCTGGAGCCTGTTTCAGTCTGTGACTCCCTCTCTCTCTGACCCTCCCCTGCTCACGCTGTCTCTCTCTCTCTCCTAGAAATAAATAAAACATTTAAAAAAAAATTAAAAAAAAAAAGATTAGAGTTATGGGGAAACTAAGGCCATGCTGAGGTTTAATCAGCAAGTTTATAACCGGCTGTGAGTTGACCCAAAATTTGTAGGGTCTCTTTGTTTTGTTTTTTAAGTTTACTTATTTTTGAGAGAGAGAGAGAGAGAAAATCCCAAGCAGGCTCCACACTGTCAGCATGGAGGCTGATGCAGAACTCAAATTCACAAACCTTAAGATCATGACTTGAGCTGAAATCAGGAATCAGACACTTAACCAACTGAGCCACCCAGGTGCCCTGGCCCAAAATTTGTTAATTTAGGAACTCTGTTAATAAAACCTTCATTTGTGTTTCTTTGCTGTGATGTTGGTTTCCCTAAGTAGTAGCCTCCTGGGGGCATATTAAGAGGGATTTAATTTACAGAAAGGATCTGAGGGTTCT